CCCTGCTCCCCCTGCTCCAGCCCCCATGAGCGTAGGGCCCTCCCGTATGAATGCGATCAATGGGCCCGGAAACGGCGGCAACTGCGGTGAACCCAACATCTCCTTTCTACCATGCACAAACGGGGTACGCACGTCAGGACAACGGGATATGTTCTTGGCTGCTCTCTCGTTTGAGCACTACCCTTCAACTTGTTGCGGTTTCCAGAAAGTACAACCTGGCACCGCGAAAGGATTGGCATTTTATAGAATTCTTATGGTTACTTGTCTTTCTAGTCTTGCATTGTGAACTTGTGAATGGGGAAAATCATATTTTATAATCTACAACTTTATTATTGGCCTTTCATAGAAATCGCATGGTTGTTTATCTTTCTAGCCTTTTATTATCTATTGTAAACTTTAGAATCTCACCCATCAATCATTTATTATTTACTGTGAATCTTGGAATTCTTGATTTTTATTATTTGCAACTATTTTATTTTAAGATTATTTGCAGTGAGAGATAGAATCCTTTTTGTTGCAGCACACCAAAGAATCTTCAATATGAACAATATATCACTCACCAGCCATTTCTCTCTTCTTGGCTGGGTTTATATTGGATATCTTCCAATTCCTTTCCCAAGCCTCTATTTTATGGCTTGGTGAGGTGATAGACGGGAAAGATTGGAATGAAAGGGAGAGGTGACCGAGAGAAAGAGATGCCACCTATCACCCTTTCCTTTTCCCTTTCCTCTTTCCCTCTCCCATCCTTGAAACGAGGGAATAGGAAAGAAAAGGAAAAGCGTTCTCATAAAGACAACTTACGACATCTCCCTCGATTTCCAGGATTATTTGTTACCTTTCGGATTCTGTCCGTCAATGATAGGGAGGAGAGACAAAGGTAACAAGAGAAAGGACATGTTATCTCGTTCTTGTCCTTTCTGTAGCTTAAGAATCTAGATTTGGAATTATGGATTACCTTCATTCTGAGACTGTTGAGTCCAAATTGATGCGATGTGATCTTTGGCTCCATTGGGTTCAATCGACCAATTCATGTTTATCGGGGAAATGGGGATTGAAATCACTGAGATGTGAAATCTCCTTGAAAGAAAGTGGCGTGACATTCCGAGGGCAATTCACCCCCCCCAAATTTTCCCAAGTCTAAGGCGGGGTATATGATGGGGATTGACCTCAATCAGAAAAGCGTGAACATGTTTAGACAGTTAGAGTTGGCGCCAAGCCGAGGCAAATCTTGCCAGACTCGCTGGCCTTCCCAGCAGGGAATGAGGGACCTGGTGGTTGTCTTTGAGTCCCAAACTGGTTCATTCCCAACACCGGGCCTTTTTTCATTCCCTAGCTGTCGCACCAAGCCAAAGCCACCTTTAACCTTGGCTGGAATTAGGACCCCAGCAAAAAAATGTATCTTTTTTGCCTGGTGAGTGGAAAACAAATAGAACCCCAAAAAGCAAAAAAGCAAAAAGGGGAGCTAATTCTGGGGAAGTAACCTCGTCCTCGGCCACCTTCACCAATGTTGACCCCGGATGTGCAACCCCTGTTTGTCAATATGGGGCTGGGGGGCAGTGACTGCCCCCCCTCCACTTTTGGAGGGGCCCCCGTATGTAATAGACAGGGCTTTTCTTCAACCGGGGTCACCTCCATTTGCTTAAGTCCCCTGGCAAAAAAATAAGAAAATGTCCAGTAGAAATTGATTCTCTTTTAAAACCAACAGGGGAAAGTAAAAAATATTCTTAACCAAATTGAAGGTCGACTTTGTACAAATTCACACTTCTAGATTCTGCGTGCGTCGCACACCTGATTGGACAATGACGTCCAGTTCTGCCCAGTTGCCCCTTGCGAAGCGATCTTTGAAACAAGGAATGCCGCGCTTCCAACTCGGCCCCAAGGCATTCCTTGGCCCCAGTGAGATCCTGCAAAGGGACTCGACCCAGGGGCCAAAGCTCCGCCCCCTTGGTAGAATCGCACGATTGAACAATCCAGGAGTCGCAAAAAGACAGGCTTAATAAATCACGCATCTTTGAGGTCCTTGTGGGAAACTCCAAAAACTCGTACCAAACCAAAGGGGAAACGAAAGAGCCACCATATCTTATTGCGATGCCCTGCTCCCGCTTCGATTCAAACCGAGGCACGATGCCCAACAGGACGAGGACCCAGAACAAGGTTCGCAATGACCTAGTCGAACCCGTGCAAAAAGATGGCCAGACTTCGATCCCTTGCAGAAAGTGACGACTGTGCTCGATTGAAAAAAGAAAATGAAAGAAACCAAATTGACAACAAGTCGAACATGCAGAGGAGAAAACTGCAGCCCCCGGATGGCTGTCAAATGGCACGAGGGAGATCACTGAACAAACCGCTCAAATATTCGTATTTGTTGCTGCACCCTCCCTTGCCTACACGGAAATGCTTATCCAAACGGTTCCTGCCAAACGGGGAAGCGTCGTTCCGCTGCACCCCGAGGTCCATTTCTGACTGAGAAACTAACATGAAACCGGCCGTGACACGGAGATGTCGTTCTGCTAAGGCCGCTTGCTCGGTGGTGCTCTCTTAGACTCAGTTCAAAGATGCAAGAATCAAAGGGTTAACCTTTGGGGCCATGACGAAACATGGACCAAAGCTGAAAGAATTTGGAAGGTCGGATGGGGAAACAAACCTCTTGAGGAGTCAAAAGACTCTGCCGCATGGGTTGTCACCGCGCTGATCTGGGGTTTCGCACTCGTTGGGTGGCCATTTGGGCTGTGCAAAAATGAACAGGATTTCGAAGGGAAGTCAAACTGTTTCTCAAAAATAGCCTGATTGAAGACACACCCGAATGCAAGTGCCAAAGCTTCAAAGGCAGAACCTTGCTGCAACATCCCGTCCGGCTGTCCTGTGCCCGAAAAAATAAATCCCTTACAAGCTGTGCGAATAATATACCTACATATGTATAATATATATATATATAGATAACTTTTGTATATATATATATATGACTCATCCGGAGCTGCACACTTTTTCTGCCAGATGCAGGGCTCCGCCTGCAAGTAGATATGCACTTCATTAAGTGCAGCAGCTGCCGTCAGGTAGGTGGTAAACACCGGAATATTTTCAGATCCACATCGATGAAAAGAATCCAGTGTGGTGACTTGATAGCGATAGCTCCCCAAGTGGATGGAGGAGAGGAGGAGGCGGCCTGAGGAATCCCTTGAGAGGTAAGACGGCAGGATTTGTATGCATTCCTCCAACGTCAAACTTCTGTAAACAGTGGGCATGACTCATCCGGAGCTGCACACTTTTTCTGCCAGATGCAGGGCTCCACCTGCAAGTAGTTATGCACTTCATTAAGTGCAGCAGCTGCCGTCAGGTAGGTGGTAAACACCGGAATATTTTCAGATCCACATCGATGAAAAGAATCCAGTGTGATTTGCCAAGCAAAACTCGACATTGGGTTCTCCAGCGCATATGGGATTCGATATTTTTCACAAAGTCTCATACAACGAAGGGAGAAACGAAGAAGTTGGTTTCCCTGTCGAACCTTTGCCAGATCCTTACCAGAGAGCCAGTTAAATCCCCATAGGTGGTCAGCATCTCGCAATGGTCCAGGCCCTTTCCCGTCCCATTTTCGCGCAATCGACAACGAAGTGCACGGCATGCCAACCCAAAGGAAACAAACGCGGCCACTCTTCAGCAAGTTTATGACTCTGTGTTCGATGTGAACGTCGAGAACATTATGTGAGGAAAATAAGCAAATGTCAACGGGGTATGCCGCAACTCCATGCTGAAGAAATGCCGATGAAATACGCGCTGTACCCGCGAACAGCTCCAAGCAAAAAGATGAAGGCAAGGGTGAGACATGGAATATATCCTCCCATCCAAAGCTCAACATGGCATTCTTGCTGCGATCGTCCCCTGCAGAACACGCTCGAGGTTTTGACTCGACCATCGACAGAACTCCATGTTTTCTGACGAAACTTTGTTCAGCAATTGCTGAATCTTCCCCACTTTCGTGTACCGTCGCACACTCTGGTCCGTGTGCCAACGGCCCCGCGCTTTCACTCCAGCGTGATCCCGAGCTCGCGTTTGCAGATCTTCGGCTGCGCCGCCGTGGCGCAGCTGGTAGGGGTGGAGCCCTGGAACCCCCAGAGCTGCCCCAGCTGCTGCAAACTCTCTTCTGAACTCGGCACTGCTGAAGGGGTAGATGAAGTCGTTCTTGGACTTGAGCCTCTTCACATACTTGTGCAACACTCTGCCAAGAAACTCTCTGCCTGGGCTGCTGAGAGGCACACTGTTGTCGAATACACCGACTTTGTCTGGCTTCCCGTCTTCGGCATCGCGGATGACCAGACTGTAATGTCGGTACTGCGGCCCTCCTCCCGGAACCGGCGCCACCAGGTCTTTTCCGCGAAGCCCGATACTCTCTCCAGGTCTGAGGTAGCAGTCGTGGTCTATCATCAGCTTTGTTGCCATGAGCATCTCCCCTCTGCCTGCCAGCACCATCGACATGCCCCTGGCCAGCAGCGCTGGTAGCGGCAGCCGGCTCTGGGGTGGCTTTTCTTTCCTCCACCCTTTTAGAGCCCTCCGGCTCCGCGGAAGACGCCCCTTCTGGGATATGTTGAAAAACTCCACTGACGCCACAACCTTCTCCCCCTCGCTCGCAGACTTTCCGTCTACGAATAGACAGTCCAGGAAGTCTGCCAAGATCGCATCTGTGTTGTCCCCGGTGGGCCAACTTATTCCGGAAGTTTGGCAGAAACCCTGGAACATTGCATAATAGCTCTTGTACTGGTGCTGCACTTCGCTGCTCACAGAACGCTCCTCCAGGATCGTCATCATGCAATTTTGCGCCCGCCTTCCAACCATCAACTCCTGCTCTGCCGGGATTCTCTGCACTGATCTTCTTGCGCCCGGGGTGACCAGCTTGATCACCTTGTCTGACTTTAACACTCGGCTCTTTATTTTCTTGGCAACCCGGATGGTGTCCACTTTCATGACACGCTGTCTTGCTTTTTGCTGTTGAGCTGGGAGGCTTCTCACAGGCGGCGGGGCAACCCGGGGCCTCGTTGCCACTCCATGGCTTGTGAGGACCCGGGTGGACCTGGCCCCTGGAAGGGCCATCCGAGGGGTTGCCCTCTGAGGGTACCCACCGCACTCGAAAACTGAAACCTCCAGCTAAAGACAATGCACTGAGCTGCTGTGTAATGCGAAGCATGTCGTAAGTGTGAGCTCTGCCCTTGTTTGCCGAAAATGCCAGTGCCATGTTGTCAACCAAAATGAGATGTCGCTGGCCACGTGTGTGTGAAGCTCGACAGAGACGCCTAAGAGCCCTGCCCTCCTTAACCGTGATGCATTCGTTCCCTGACTCCCACTTGCCCATGAGACATGTTTTCCAAATGGAGGTTCTGAGAAGGTGAGGGGGTACTTCAGGAAAATCGCTGTCTTCCACGTATTGCTCCAGAAGTCTCGCATCCGGATCGGCCCCCAAAACCGTATCAACCTCCCCAATCACATCCCTGCGCAGAGCCCGAGTCCTCGGGTTCCACTCTTCCGGGCTGAGCCGCTTGAAGCGCCACCTCTCTTGCCAGCCAACGCGACCAACTTCATTGCGGTCGACTTCGGCTTGACAAATGCCATAACCGGTGGGAGACGCGTCACTGCAATGGATAGTGGGGCTCCAACTTCGTCTAATATCTGTGTAAAGCATAGGTATCAACCCTGCAAATATCTTGCGCTCCTCGATCTCACGACCCTGCAGAAAACGTTTTGGGCTGCCATCGGGGTTCTTTTCGATGAAGTCATACAGCGACCGGAACACGCTCATACCTGCCCTATTCAAGACACAGATAAACATCGCATGCCCCAACAGCTTCTGAATCGTTTTCCCCGAGACAGCGACTTTGGTAACTTGTTGAAAAGCGAGCTTGATCTTCCATGCCCTTTCAATGGTTGCCCGGATTTCCCCAGCACACCCGTCGACCATACCTCCCAAAGTTTTGAAGGTGGCGCTGGCCGATTCCTCCTCGTGCAGCGAAAAACCCAGCCCCTCCAACTCTGCTGATACCTTCTGCTTGGCGTCGTTGCATGCGTTTGGGTCGGTGCTGATTGTGTGCACGTTATCGCAATAGGGCAGTGTAAGGATACCTTTTTGGGGATGACGGGAGCCGGATGACCTTCGAGAACAACCTGGTCCCTAGGAATACCCAAACTCCGCAAAGCCGCCCTCTCATGGATTTGTTGGACAAAGTAAAAGGACCACGAGAAACCCATTGGGAGAACAGCAATTGCAGGACAAAACCGTCTCATGTTGGCATGGATAGACCCATTGTATCTCGTCACCCAGTCAGCATCCTCAAAGCAAACATCCTCTCTCAACACGAAGAACTGCTCCAACCCCAACCCTGCAGGCAACCGAACAGCGTAAAAGCAGTCTTTGATGTCGGCTCCAGCAATATAAAGGTTGTCGCCATCCTCAAGCTCCAAGTCGCAAAGGGCAGACAAAGATCCCAGCTGAGTGTGCGGAGATGGCTTGAACAACATGTTTGTTTGCCTGCAATCAAGAACGAGTCTTTGACGAGGTTTGACAACCCCATCAACAACCTTGGCCTTCTTAGCCACAGTGAATGCCCCAACCCTTCCCCTGCACTCCTCAGTGAAGCACAGGATGCCCCGATCATGCAGCTCCCGAAGAAACTCAAGATACTTGCGTCGAGACCTGAGTGAAGGGTCGTCATACGGCACCAACCTTGATGCGCTTCTGGAAATGTGAGTCCAGACGTCGGCATCCTGCAGCATTCGATCCTCGAAGTTCTCCACCACATCTCGAAGATCACCATCAAGTGCCTGAAGCATGTCAACTCCCGAAGAGGTCCCTTCAGGAAGCGAAAGCTGGTCAAGCCTCATTGGCACAACATCACCCACGCCCGTCTCCAAAGGCACATATGAAGACAAAGCTGCACGAAGCGCCTGTAGGGCTTCTGAGCCGCATGCACCAGCAGGTTTGGGCCCCATTCGCTTCACGGCAGAGATGATACCCTTGATGGCCTCCTTCTGAGAAGTCGGAAGAGAATCCACCGAAGGCACCAACCTGTCGTGGCCAGAGCCCTTTCCACCGAAAAATAGCGAATTCATTGCAGAAATGGACTGGTTCACCTCTTCGATGACAGCCCGTCGTCGGAAAACTCTCTTTGCAACAGCCCTGCACACATCCCCTCGAGGACCCACTTCACTCTGTATCAGCGGTAAAGGAAAAACATCTCGTTTACGTCCATCCTTGAGAGGCTCGTGAAAAACCGGACTGCTCCAATTTGTCTTGCTGTGGAGAGGCATTGCTGCCAAAACGGGAGGATGCGGCCACAGCACCGCAACCCCCTGTGCTGGCACTCACGCAGATCCCGCCGCCCCACCCTTCGGAGCGGCCTTTGGTTGGCCCTTTTTGGACCCTTTTGCTTCTGCCAACTTCCTCTTCTCCTTCATGATCTGCGATTGCGCCTGCATCTTCTTGGCCACGAAATCTGTTAGCGTGGGAACCACGATTCCTCCACCTTGCCGGTAAGTCTGACCCATGAAATGCTCTGCCCCCATGTACGATGGGGCACCTGGGGAGTTGGCATGGGCTTCTGAAATCAGCTGGCGTCGCCCGCAAATGAGCTCCATGCACGCCAGGCTGGCAACATTCAAGCTGTCGTAAGTCACAGCAAGGTCCAGAGCCCTCGCAAGCACCTCATCTTCATACACGCTTCGATCTCCGTCGGGGATTCTTGACGCGCCCAGCCACATGTGATGCTGCGCTGTTGCGCTCTCGGAGATTGATGACACTGCCTTGACATACTCCATCGCTGTTCGGGGCTGGAAAGGAAAATCTTCAAACTCGCAGACTTGTAGCTCATTGACGGTCTCCCGAAAGCTGCGAAGCCTCTCACCGTTCACTCCATATCGTACCTCAAGAGTGCGAACATCTTCACTTGCGGACCTATCGTCCCCTTCCACAGCCTCCGACATCCTTGCCAGGCGGATCCTCTCTTCGCAGAAAGCGGGTATCGCATCTTCAGCAATCTGATGGATCAAGCATGGGCGTGTCACACCCCCGCTCGAAGTCACATTGGCCAGACCCCACACACCATCAATAGGATGGCCCACCACGGGATGCACTCTCTCACCTATCTTGTGACCTTCCACAAACTCGGCCAGAACCCAGACTAAAGCACCGAACACTGGGGCTGCTGGAGCACCTGGTGCCGGCGCAACGCCCAAGCCTCGCCGAGTTCGCTCTTGCGCCGCTGCTTGTTGCCCCGCTTGAAGCAGAGCACCATACTGAACAGCTGTCATTGGTCTGAAGCCGTAGATGTGTGCAGGATTTACTCCATGAGGCGGGGCCCCGCCCGGAAGAGCGGGATGAAAGCCCGTAAAATCCCCATTACCTGCAGCCAACTCCTCCACATTGGTCCAAATCAGGGGTCATGATCAGGTACTCGTCCCCCTCGACATGGTCGAGCACTAGCCTTGTATGAATGCACGGCGGAGCCTCGCCGTAGTGGACATACACTACATCCCCTGGGGCAAACGCCATTTGGCTCACCTAATCTGCACACCCTTTGCAACGCCAAATGCTCCTTTGCTTTTCCCGGAGCCCTTGACGTCCAGGCTCAGCACACGATCCTCACCAGTCTTAGCGTCACTGAATGTGAGCTTCAGGGCCAATGCAGTCTGGGAAAAAACCAAGCAAAGCCCAAGCACCACCAATCCAGCTAACAGGTGAAAGCCTGGCGTCCAATTGTGGTCTGCAGATCCGGCTTTCCAATAACAGTTGCAGTTGCACGCGGGGATCTCAGGCTTTGAGTGGCCTAAAGCAATGGCTCCGCAAACCGCGGTCTGCTCCATTCCCCTGAGGAATCCCTTGAGAGGTAAGACGGCAGGATTTGTATGCATTCCTCCAACGTCAAACTTCTGTAAACAGTGGGCATATATATTTATTTATGTATGTATGCTCGCTTTTTGATTGGATCGCTCGGAAAAAGTCCGAACCTTTTGTCGAACAGGAAAAGGTGCTTTCAAAAATCAATGTCCCCGTCGAACCATTTCCCTGCGCCCCTGCCGGGCTCCAATCAGTTCTCGCATTGCTCGGTCACCGGGCGCCGCAATGCCGTTCACCATGATCCTCAAGGGGGCACAGGATTTCACCCAGATCAAGTTTGCTTCCTTTCGGACGCCTAATGGACACCCCAATCATTCACCATCATGCAATTGGGTTCTGATCTGCCACTTCATTCTGGGTTCTGATCCACTTCCGCGATACAATCTCAGATAAGGCAACAAAAACAACATGCAACCCGAACAAAAAAGAGTGGGTGGGGCTGGACGACCCTTTTAATCAGCTGTGGCTTCCGCCAACCTGCGAAGAGACAAATACCAACTTAAAACGAGCATGTCCCATGCCACTTTGAGAGACCAACACCTTCAATATCTCGGTCCTCCAGATTTGAGAGGTTAGAATAAGGGGCCCTATTTTGTTCGGTCGTCCATTTTAGTAAAAGAACCCTCCCCCCCCAAAAAAAGTTGGTGAGAAAGGGCACCTGGCTGGGGGACCCAGATATGTTTCCCCGCAGCCTGGGAGGGAAATTCGAAGGCAGTGTGGCCACATGACGCGGTGGCAGCTCCTTTCAATCGAGGGGCACCACCAAGAGTGCCATGTTTCACACATCGACGCGGTCGGACGCAACGGCAAAGAGAGAGGGAGAGGGAGGGATATTCGGGAACCAACCCAAAGGTTGGACAAAATAGTTCGGGCCCATAGTCGACTAGTCGACTGGGGGCATGGGATCTGTCAGCATATGTCCATTTGTTTATCTTAAACATTTCAGAATAACTAGCTCCTCCAGATTTGAGAGGTTAGAATAAGGGTACCAACTTTCTGTTGTTGTCTATTTTAGTAGGAGAACCTTCCCCACCAAAAAAAAGGCAAAAAAGGGCACCTACCTAGAACCCTCCCGTGGCTTCCCTTATGCCTCCTTTCGCCTCCCTTCGTCGGCTCCGCTGCGCTCCGCGTGTGCCCCGAAACGCGGCGGGTGACCGTCCCCGCCTGAGGTCTGCGCAGAAGCGCACCACCCGCAGGAGCCGCAGCACCCGGACCAGGCGCAGCAGGCGGAGCAGCCGGAACTGGGAGAGCTCGATGGCCCAGCCTACGGAACCAAAAACTGAGGTGAGAAGCTTGGGTGCAACAAATTGGGCCCGTCGTTCTTTGATACCTTTGCTTTTTTGTTGGGTTAAAAGGGAAATCAGCTATTATTTTTGATTTTTTGGTGGGTTTAAAGGGAAATCAACAGGAGATAGAAATGAAAAGTAGGTAGCAAAGAAAGCCAGGCCCAACCTAACCTTACAACCTAAGCCTCAGTTGCAAAGCCGACCTTCTAACCTGCCGGTGTTCCCGCTATCTATGTTTAGTAAGGCCCCTGATTGATTAGCTTTTAAATGTCTGGATCCATACCCCGAGAGGTTTTCCCTCGTCCCTACCCGAAACGACCGTACCAGCCTCCCAACCTAAGGGACTCGTTGTCGGCACGTTTTGTTCGGCTTTTAGGTGTTCCGGTTGGTTCAGTTTTAGCAGGGGGTCGCGGAAAAAAAAAAAGCGGGCCCCCCCCGGAAAAAAAAAGACCATGAAAAAAAAAGTTTCAGGTTCCCGTTTCAGGTGCGCAACCATTTGGGGTAGCCCTTCATGGGTCATTCGCACGGACGATTTTCGGGTTTGGATGCTCAAGCTGAAACCGGCCCGGGACCGGGCTGAACCTGGGTGAACGCGGATGGCAGAGTCCAGTTCCAAGTGGGCAAGTCAAGGGGGGTGACTGACCCCAAAGTGATGGAACCGCCCCGCGTATCATACGTTCACCCAATTGCATGTGTTTTGGTCGAGGGCGTCAGCCTCCCTCTCATTCATGGGTGGTTTGGATTTGTACAGGGTGGTTTCTCAGTTACCCTCAATAACGACCAGGGGTCCAAACCACCAACTAAGAGTCCTGAGTGCACCTTTTCCGCCTTGGTCGAAATGAAAGCCAAAAGGAAAACTCACCCACTTTGGCATTCAATGCTGCTATGCAGAGAAACCATGACAAATAGAAGCCCTAACCAGGTTGCGTGTCCTTCAGTACCCAAGAGGGTCCAACCTCTGCTTAACTCAAGTGTGACTGGGTGGGGTAAAGGGGGGGGGAGTGGAGGCCCGAATTCAATTGTCAAAATCTTCTTCCCAACATACTTGAAATGGCTCACGAAAGGACAGCCTCCCCCAGCCCATAGCCACGTCCATCATACCAATCACAACCCGCAAGGCCACTGGGCAGGCGCACCTTTTCCTCCGTGAGCCGGGCAGGGTCGCTACATGCCGTGGCATCCTGTCTGGCGAATGGAGTTTGATGTTTGATGTGGCCATGGGTTAGAATCCAAATCGTACCCCCAATGAACATCCCAATCCCCGCTAAAAACGACTAGAATGGGGGGTGCAGCTACCCCAAAATGGGATACCAAAACGGTTTTGACCCACAGCCATGTGTCTGAATTGAGCAGCAGGGGGTCTATCTAATGACTCTATTTTAAGAACATATCCCCGGGTCTCCTTTGGAGATGAAAACCTGTGGGTTATCCAGGGCCCAAATTCCAGGATCCCAAAACACATCGCACATCCTGGGCGAACTTTGGTACGCCAGCTCGGTGCGAGCTGGGAGTGTCCAAAGATGAGAGTGCTTTCTTGAACCTTTTGCGTCAAGTGATTCAAGAATCTTGGGCTGCCTTCACCAAACATTGTTGCCAACATTGGGAACAAAACGCTCAAATGATCGAATGCAAGAGAAGCCAATGCCACCTTAGCCTTCCGTTTTCCTCTGATTCACCCCAGCGCTAAACAGCGGGTCTTCACGCTTGTTTTGCTTGTTTTGTTCGAAACAGCAAAATTCAAAACATCCTCTTGGTTTTCTTGGGAACTTCTCGATTCTAGCTTCTATTCACAACTGCTACCCACACCATTTGTTGGTTTTCTTGCAGGAGCTTTCCCGCATGGCACGCCTCTCTTGGACCACCACAACACTGGGCTGCCCTCAGATCCCCTGCTAAAGGTTTAGCTTTTAGTGTGAAATGGAAATCCCCACTAAACCGACTTAAAAAGCTAAAAAGCTAAAAAGCTAAAAAGCTAAGGAACCGGAAGGCTGGGAGCCACCACACGCATTTTCAGGCAGCTCAGCTGGTCTTGGCGATGATGAAGGCGGCTAAGGAGGACTCTGTGGGGTCCAAGTTGCACTTGTCCGACCAGCTCACCACCTGGGCCTCCGGCGCAAAACCGCTGAAACCGCCCAAAACCACTTCCGAGAATCCAACGAACAGAAGGCCCCGGCCAAAAGAAAAGGGTGCAGGGAAACCGGTGATGTCCTGAGTGGGTCCAAAAAGAGCCCGAACGGTTTTTTTGTTATTTGCAGGGCTGGTTCTTGCTCTGCTGAAAACGCCGCAAGCCCAGAATGAAAGTCGAAGATCAAACAAACCCTTCCGAAACCCTGAAGCCCCAGACCCCTCCTAAACCCTGGCTGAAACCCCTCAGATTTCCGATCGAGTGGATTGGCCCAACAAAAATTGGAACCCCTTTTGTTTACCGCCAACATGGTCTTCCCAAAAAAAGTATATAAAGTCCAGGAACTCGGGAAGTGCCGAAACCTGGTTAGTGGTTTGCGTTGCTTTTTCTGAAAGCCAAAATAGGCAAGCAAGAACGACACATGGCTTGCATTCCGACCACCCTCTTCGGGGGGGGGGGGGGGAACGGGGGAGGTCAAAAATGCAAACCATGATTGCATCGAAGACCATGCGCGTCTGTAGGCTTGACATAGTGTCATGTCTGCTTCGTTCGTGGGCATGCGAAACTGTTCGCCCGCGTTTGGCTGCCCGAGAATGGATGCACCCCGAAAGGGGTGGAGAGAAAACAGGCCGTCTGGTGGCGGAGCATCTAGCGAGCAAGCAAGCCTGGCGCCGATTGTTTCTCTCATGTCCTGTCAAAGTTCAGGAACACAGAAAGCATCCGGAAAACATCGTCCTGTCAAGGTGCCTCTCTGAATCCTGACAAAGTGTCAGCTTGAACCCACGTAAATCCATGTTTCAAAGGGAGAGCCCCCACCTAAGCTTTGGGCGGCAAGCAAAGGCATGGAATCGGAGGATTGAATCTGGCGCAGTTCAGAGCAAGCAAAAGGCAAACCGGGAAGCTCTAGAAAAGCAACTCTGCTTGTGTGATGCCGCTTTTTCCAAATGGCTGTGGGTCAAAACCCTGTACCCCTAGTGAACATAAAAATAGGTGGCAAATGGATGTTCATCTACCCCAAAATGAAGCCATAGGTTATGCCCCATGGCCAAATGAGCTCCCGAAATTCTGCGAGAAGTGGCAACCATCCAACCCGAGCTTCCACTTTGTGGGGGTCTTATTGCAAGACTCAATTTCACACGAGTTGGCAAGACCTTGGGGGTTAGCTGCGCGACATGCGGGGAATGCCCGTGTATAACTGCAAAGAAAGGTGATTTGTTCGCCAAAGGAATCTGTGTTTTTGCAGCTCGGGCGGCGAAGAAAGTCTATGCCGCCCTGGGTTTCGGCCCTTCAAGAAGCCTCGCATTTGATCCAAAAAAGATGATCACCTTCCTCTTCTTGGATCGCTGCAAGTCCTGGCCCCCACAGGAAAAACAAGAAGGAATGCATCCATGTTGGTTTCCGCCGATTTCTCTTGAGCCAAAATTGGACGCCACCAAACCCTACCTGGTAGAGTGTTTTGTTCTTTTTATTCGCCTTAAAGCCACACTAACATGTTTGCAACATCAGCAACCCTCACTGATCTAAACCCCATCTGGTCCTCACTGGCTGAGTGGATGGCCCAAAAAAAGGTTCAAACTTTATAATTACCACTAAAATGGTCCAAACCCAAAAAGCTTAAAGTTCATGAGCTCAGGAAGTGAGGGTCTCCATGACTTGCCCGGTACCACCGGGTCGACCTCCGCCCGGTCCCACGGATTCCCCGCGCTTTCAGCTGCTCCAGCGCCGCCGGCTTCTCGTCCCAGAGCTCCAGGGAGGCCTCTCCGAGTCTCCGTTCCCGGCGCCCGCCGGCACATAAATCGGTCGCAACCATAAAATTAAGAATCACCAACTACGCAAATAGAAAATCCTTACACAAGGGGGGTGCACAATACAAGTAAATAGATATCAACAAACAATACAAACAAGGTAAAGAGAGAGTGGTGAGTGGATTTTTTGGGGGCACGGGAGTCTCATGACTTGTTTTTTGGAGTCGGTACCCCCTTCCCCATCAACCGCAAGGAGAACCCCTTCGTTTTGTTGTTCATTTTTCTTTGGGGGGGGTCTTTTTTGGAGACCTGAAGCCACGGCTTCGGCCTTATTGCTAGTGCCCCTTACAGCCCCAAAAAGGGTACCCTTTTCAAAGAGAAACCCGGGGAAAACTAGTTTTTTTTGGGAGGGGTCCCCTGCTACACATGAGAGTGTCTAGGTGTTTGGGTGGGGGAGGTGGATGTGTGACTGTTGCGTAAGTGAGTGCATGCCTGCGGACCTGCCAGCGTGCCTGCCTGTGAGTCTGCGTCTCTCTGTGTGTCGTTGGCCGGTGTCTGTGCCTCTGTCAGTGTCAGTCTATCTGTGTCTCTCTGTCTCTGTGTGTGTCTGTGGTGGGTGCGGGTGTGGGTGCCTCTGTGCCTCTGTGTCTCTGCACGTCTCTCGCTTCCTCTCTGCGTCCTTCTCTCTGTCCGTCCGAATCCGAACCCACCTCCAGGTACTGAGCCCTGCTCGTGCCCAGAAACTCCGGCAAACTCGGCGCCTGCACCTCCGAGTCGGGTGGATGGAGCCATATGGAACTAATATCCACCAATAGGAACTTCCCTTGTTGGGATTCAGCTTGCTTCTCCACAGGTGCAATCACCTCACTTCCTGACTGGATGGGCCAATAAAAGTCTACACTTCTTATTGACCACTAAAATGGGCTTCCCAAAAGGCTTCTATAAAGTCCAGCGAACCTGGGAGTGAGTCACAGACCCACTTGATAGAGCCAAGCCGCTGGATTTGTTTGGCTCAGTCAAAGCTAGGTCCTCCAGATTTGAGAGCTTAGAATAAGGCTACCAACTTTTTTCTGTAGTCTATTTTAGTAGGGGAACCGAATCTCCCAACCAAAAAAGTTGGGTGAGAGAAAGTTGGCACCTATTGCTGGGGACCCAGTCAAAATGGTGCTTGCCCTGCCTGATGCACGAGGTAGGTGAGCAACAGATGCAACGGGATGACGTTGGTGAGCTCCTCGAAATCCAAGGACGCTGCCGGAGATGCCACCAGCCGCTTGAACTCTTTCAGGACGGAGGCCTCTTGAAGCCGCAAGAAAAAACGGCGGCTAGAATACTCAGATGCCCAGTGGATTTCCATGGGAAGAAAGAATGGGCATCCTTTTTTGGGATGGTTGAGTGTAAAGGGAACCCTTCCAAAAAAAAGAAAAAAAAAGCGTGCCACTGGGCAACTGGGGGAACAGCTTTATCCTGAAAGCAAGGCCACACCCGAAAAAAGCTCAAGGATGGGTGGCAACAAGGGGGTTCTTCCACTTGGTTAAGAAACAAATATTTCCAGTAGTGATAGATTCCCGTTAAAACCAGCAGGGGAAAATAAAATAATAATAATAATAAAACAGCAAATGGGCGGTTTGGGGAGCATTGCTTGAAGCCTCGGAAGAGGCAGGTCTGCCACCCGCTTGCTTTGGCCAATCGATAAAGGAATCGATTGGAATCCATGTCGCGGTCGCATGGGTTCTGTCCAAATGTTTGGTGACTAATAGTGACCAAAGCCACACGGGTCCCTAAAGAGTCCGCGTGGTTTTGACAGAGGGCGTGTCTTTCTTTGAGGATACCCCTGCCGGGGTGGTGTTGAAGGGAAACCAAAAGGAAACCAAGCTTTATGGGCCGCTCATTTTGACAAGCACCCATATCAGGCATCCCCATCACTCATTGCGACGTGGTTTGAACCAACGTGGGCGCTACAAAGACGGTGCCCAAAATGCAGCCTGGTTAGACTTGCATCTTCTGATATCCACCTGCAACGTTCCCAAAAGCCAGGAACAGCTTCCCGGAGCTACTTACCCCCGGCCGACCAATACGGAGGGGGGGTTCCATTTAAGAGGTCCCAACCAAACCCAGCCCCAGTCGACTAATAAGGAGGGGGGGGTCGAGCAACTTCCCAACCAAACCCAGAGCTACTGACCCCCGGTCGGCGAATTCCATAAGGAAGGGGGGTCCCTTTTTATTTTTTAGAGGGGATCCTTCCATAGGTGTCCTTTCAGGGTAAATAGATGGCCCTGGTAGATGATTCAACCACTAGGTAAACCAGGGCCATCTATTTTTCTACCAGAACAACCAAAAAGGACACCTATGGATCCTTCGCTTTTGGCAGAACCGTGGTTCTTGGGCCGAAGCCACCAGCGCCCCGGCGCCGGCCGAAGCCACCAGCGCCTCGTATCTGATGCGCGACTGGTAGTCGGCATCCAGCGCCTCGATGGGAAAAGATAATTGGTTCTTTTAGGTAATTCCTCGACCGGCTTTCCAAAATCCTTGATTCCTTAAGAGCCTCTCCAAACAACAAACCCAGCCCGTGACCCCGAACTGAACCAATTGTTTCCTTCAAGTGGGTCCCCCAACCGGCTCATTCCCAAAAAAATCCATTGATTCCTTACTGAGAGCAACTGCAAGTGACTTGGTTGCATGTCCAATGCACATTTTCGTCCTTTTGGTTCAGCGGTTTTTTTTCTCACCGCCCCCTTTTGGTGTCTGAAAAAAAAGGGAGCAAACCCCCCCACCTGGCTCAGCCGTCGCCCCCAAACCGACCGACCGGGGCCCCCGCGGAGAGCATGGCTTCCAGCTGCCCCAGGTCCTTCAAAAAGCTCTCCGAGGCCGCCTTCTTCAGGCTCCAGGCGGACAAGAAGCAGCGCAGGCAGTAGCCACAGAAGTCCTGCAGACATTTCTGTTGCTTTTGATGCGGCCCCTGGAAAAACTGGGCAAGGTGGTCCAGTAAAATCCAGTCCCTTGGCATTTGTTGATGCATCTCCCGGAAAAACTGGGCAAATGCTTGTGCAGCGAAATCCAGCCCCTTGAAAGCCAGCAACAAAGCGAAACATGCTCGGCTCTGCAAATGGAAGCATGGATGGCAAGGTGTCTTTTGGGGAATTGGGTAGTGGGCACCCCCAAAAAGGTTGGTGTTGAAGGGAAAGCAACAAGAAACTAGCCACTTTCCGGGCGCCTGAATTATCAATGGTTGCACAAAGGCGTGTAAGGTACAACCTTGAGCACGAGGGGTTGTACGCATGCCCCAAGGACTGGTCAGCATCTTGGCACCTTGGCAAATGCACCTTGGGGTTTTGACGGCGCAAAAGGAGTTTCAGCCACTAGGGGATCCTTTGATTGAGCACCTTCGCGGACAGCTTTTGTTCATGTTGAAAACCCGTCGGTATGTTCATGAATCATCCCTGAAGTTGCAAACGGGGGAATGATTCAGCGGTATACAGCTAACCATGCTTGGTAAGCGATTGTCGTTGCAGAGAAAACTTCAACGTCCTGTCAATCACAATGCCGTCCGTTAGGACCCAGTCACATTTCTGCTTTACGGAAGGCTGCTCAAGACTGACCAATTTCAAAGCGGGATTTGCATTTCAACATTCAGGCGCTCGAAAAACAGTGAGCAGTGCAAGAGCACTGCTTGCGAGTTTATCAAAAAGGCCACCTTGAATGCTCCCAACGCCCTCATCCCCTCCAGCTGCGGCTGACGCACGGGTTGCCCCTCACACCCTTGACGGTGGTTTAAATGCAACTCTGCAGCAGATAGTTTTTGCAACGTGAAGTGCAGAGGTGACAAACTTTCATGCCCGCTCGCGCAACGCAAAGACTACACTCCCCCGCAGCAAAGACACTCACAATAAAGACAGCCGCGCATGCTGAACGGCTCACCCGGTTACTACTTCTGTTCACCCTTTCGTTCACTCTGAAGTGTTCCATTGATCCCTGAAGCACGCCGCTTGGTTTCCACAAAATGCGGTGGGGGCACCCCAAAATGGATCGTTTCTCTGTGGCTTCCGTTGCTTACCCCTTAAAACTCCAAGCCCTGGGGAAGTTAATCTTTTACAAACATATAGCCCATGTTACCCAAAAAGCTGAAAAGTTTTGTGTTTTTAAGAGGTAAGTCCTTTGAAACAAGCCCCAACCACCAGCCCTGAAAAACCGCCTGCCCGCATGTCCCATGGCCCGATCCACCAACCTCGGGCCTCTCCCCCGCCTTGAGGTAGGCCTGCAGCTGTCCGGCTCCAAACAGGGAGAAGTAGTACCGGTTCAGGTGCAAACAGGCCTTCCATGGAAAAAAACCGAACCCGAACGAAATGGATCCAAAGGCAGAGGTGCCGAAACACATTGAGATGATCTGAGTTGGCTGTTGATGGCGAAAACAACAGGGCTCCCGATATTTGCCCTCCAAACATTTCCATGAAGGGAAGCTCACCTGAAAAGGGCAAACAAAAAGTGATGTGTAAAACCCACAAAAAGGTTCCCCTGTCCAAACCAAACCTTGAAACACAAACTCGTCCCACGAAATGTTCCGAACCTTTCTCCGGGCACTCAGTGAGACAGTCTCACCCTTCGCACCCCGCGGCCCCGGATCAAGAAACAAAAAAAGTCCCCAGGCGAGCCGGGTGGCCAAATGCACATCTTCTCGCTTCCTGAGTTGATTGGCCAACAAAAAGTCCAAACTTTTTGTTTACCACCAAAATGGTCTTCCCAAAAAGTATGAAGTCCATGAACTCAGGGAGTGAGTCTTGGGAATCCCGAATCCATCCTTTCAGTCCTCTTGGTTGCTGCAACGACCAAGAAGACCCCCCCGGCAAAAAGTGAGCTTCACTTCTTGAAAGTGCATATCGGAAACCCCGACTTGAGTTCAACCGAAAAGTGGGAAAAGTCTAAAGATCCGTTGCCCAAGAGCAGTCAAGACATTTATGACCTGCATGGGCTCCTTCGGTATTTTGCTGGAGTGCGCGGCTCTTGGACATCCTGGGTGATGGCGGGCAACCTCTCCCACGGAAACTTTTCAGGGCTCCCAAATGGTACATTGGCGATCGGTGGAAATTATGGTGAAGCGCCCTTGCCTTCCTGGTGCTAAACTACTTTCTTGCGTGCCTTGTCGGTAAAACACATTCGCAACTGGGCGCACATCCACCTTCCAAAGGGCTCCACGGATGTTAAATAGAGGGTCTGCAACGAGTAAAAGCTCTCTCTCTCTCTCTCTCTCTCTCCTTTGTGGCTGAACTCAATTCATTGGATATTCAGCCGTCGGTCGTTCACGGGGGTCCTTCAGTTTCTCCTGTGCTTTAGTCAGGGCGGGGCTAACTACCTGTTCAAAACCCGATCGTTTCATGTCAACTCATTTAGCTTTCCCTTCAAATCGGAGTTCATGACAACAGGAAGCTACGCAAATCTTAGAGCTCTGTCAAAACATTTGGGACCCCTTCTGACATTTAAATGGACCGCCTCAAGCGGCTGCTTGAGCAAGGGTCGGGCTCCTCTTCAGGCCGGTGTAACCTGGTAATTGCACAAAGCAGACCCAAAATCATGTCTCAGAATCACCAGGGCAAATCTCTCTGTCGCTGCAATCGGCCCCTACTAAATTTCAACTGGCCCAGTACTGGCGGGTGGTGCACCTACCCTAAAATGGGATCCCATTAGTTTTGACCCACGGCCATATACCAAAACAATCGCAAGCAACAATTAACTCACCGGCTGAGTGGATGGTCCAAAAAAGTCCAAACTTTACATTTACTACTCAAATGGTCCAAACCCAGAAAGTTTAAAGTTCATGAACTCAGAAAGTGAGTTAAGCAAATGGAAGTACAGCGTGAGCAGCCTCCTCTCAAAGCGGCGCCCCCGGCCTGGCAGAGAGCAGCCAGCTCAGCGCCGCCGGCGAGCGAGGCTTCAGGCAAAGAGCCCTGCAAGGCGCCCAAGACCGGCAGGACCACCGCCTGCTGGGTCTGCTTCCTCGGAGCTTTTTGCTTTTTTTTGTTCGGAATTTTGCTTTGGCTTTTCGGTTTTTTCTTTGTCTCCCTTTTGAACCTCGGTGCTCTTCTTTTTGTTCTTCGGATTTTGGCTTGATTTTTGCTTTTGTCTCCCTGCAAAACAGGCAACCAAGCCCAAGACGTGGTTTTCGGCTTTGCCCAGAAAGGCTCATAGTTTGGGGCAGCTTTCAGAGGGTTTCCGGAGCGGAGGGGTCCAGGAGGACATGCCGGTGAGGTTCCCTGCTGAAGCTGAAGCGGACAAGAACCTCGCAGTCAGTCCTTTGGTCTTGCTTGTACCGATTCAGACGAAACATGGACACCCAAAGACCCTCATGCATACTAGGCTGGAGTTAGGACCCCAGCAACAAATTATCTTTTTTGCCTGGTTAGTGGAAAACAAAGGGACCCCAAAAAGAAAAAAAGCAAAAAGGGGAGCTAATTCTGGGGAAGCATAGAGGAATCTCCTGTTGGGGACTTGCCCTTTGGGTTCCTTCCGGAAAAAGTGCGAAAAAATGCGGGTGCATCAACCTCAGCAACATGGCACCCGGCAGGCGGAGAATCAGCTTGAGGGACCTTGCCAGGGGGCTAGCTCCCAGAAGCCTCCCTGTGGGATCCAGGCCAACCGCATCGACGATGGCATCAGATTCACGTTCAAATGCATAGCTGTAAGGCAAAAGAGTTGAGTCAAGAGTCTTTGGAATAACTTCTTGGTTGTGTCAATGGTGCGGATGGCTCGCCAATCGAATCTGATGGATTATTCTAGATCCAGCTTCGAGCATCTCTCATGACCTCCGTGTCGCAACCCAAAACCCAACAGGGGGTCGTCCAAAACCGCGGGCCTCACCTACCATGTCCTCACCTGAGTCATAATGAAAACCCATTATAAAAATGGTCTACCCAGAACTATGTAAAGAATTAAGAAGGCGGATATCTGCAACTATTTATGGCTGGGAGTCTCCCTAACTAACCTCCATCTACCCGGGTTTTTATTGAGGCTCACCTGGACTCCTGGACTCCTGGCTCCAAAGCCCCCTCGTTACCAGCTCCGAGCCCCCGAGCCCCCGAAGGCGGTTCCGCTCCCCTCGGAGCCCAGCCCAAGGCGCAAGGTGTTGGTCACCTGCTGGGTAACCACCTGGGCCTGAAACCGCTGCGGCAGCTCCTGCGATGAGCCCCGGAACATATGAGCCAGGCTCAGCAGCTCAGCATTCGCATTTGTTCCACGGATTTTCTGCTTTGGACGGACAGAGCTCCTTTTCGTGGGGATTTAAAGGGGATGACTACAGGGAATGGCATGTGTGTTTGGAAAGGTTATCGCACTTTGGTGAATGTTGCCCATGTCACCCCCTTCACAGTAGATGATCATGAATATTGACCGGTGCTCCCACCATGTCAATAGGCCCTACCAACAACCAGCATCTTCAGTGTCAAGGAGGTCGCAGCCACCAACTTGCCCATCCGAAAACCATGCGGGATGCCCCTTTCATCAGGGAGCCGGTCTCAGGCAGACGCCAAAAGTGGACAGCTTGATGTGTGTTCCTTCATGGCTTCCCGTGGGGCCAATCTCAAGACGTGGGGGGAGTCCGTCTCCGGGTTCAGGCCACGCCTGGCACCAGCTAGGAGCTTAACAAGTTCCAACCCCGAAAAAATCGCCCGCTGGTTGAACACACTTAAGCTGCCCTTGCTCATTGGAAGCTAGCCACTGAGCAAAGGAAGATCACCTGGAAACTGAGATAACCAGTTCCCAAGAGAATAGGGGGTTTCGAATTGATGGCGCACATGACTTACCAGTAGATAAGATGGCTTACGGGCCCAATTTTGCGCGAGTTCAACCGTGAAGACTAAAGTAGTATTCGAGGGGCCCAAAATCCAACAACATGAAACCCCAGCCCAAAGGGAGTGGAGGGGAGTGGAGTGGAGTGGAGTGGGGTGGTATCAGAACGCCACCCCCCCCCCCTTTCATGGGGCTAAAAGTCACGTTCGCATTCCCTCCCTCCGGTAGACATGGACAGACTTCGTGAAACGGCACTCCTTGTAGTTTGTTCCATATCTGGCCCCTCTACAGGACAGGGCGGAGGATTCCTGAACTTAGTTTCCTTCAACAATGTCCCCCCACCATACCTTCTCTTCCATGTACTTCTTCGCCTGGAACAAATGAGCAACTCTTTCCAGTAGTGACTTCGAGCCCCGTTAAAGCCAAGAAGGGAAAAAAAAACAACACCTTCGTTTCAGCAAATGGAAGTCATTCAGCCCATTCTTCGCCTTGAGCGCCGCCAGCGTGTGGTGCGCAATGCCGAAGAGCCGCGCGTTCCGCGCGTGGCCTTGGGCTTGGGTCCCCGGTCCCCGGTCCCCGTTGGGTCAAAGCCTATCGAAATAGATGTGGCCATGGGCCAAAATCCCGTACCCCCGGCCCCACTAAGATAGACCAAAATAGGAGGTGCACCTACCAAAATTGTACAATTGGTTTTGCTATGTAACTAGGCTGGAATTAGAACCCCAGCAAAAATATATCTTTTTTGCCTGGGTAGTGGAAAAAACAAAGGGACTCCAAAAAAAGATCAAAAAAGGGCAAAAAGGGGAGCTAATTCTGGGGAAGGTAAGATGTCTCGCTTCCGGTGGAGTGGATGGCCCGAAAAAAACGTACTGAACTTGTGTCTGTTTACCACTAAAATGCGGATGAGCCCAGATTCATCAACCCCAGTTCAATAGGGGGACGGTTTTGGCCCCAAACGTGGTCTGATTTTCGCCACTATATAAGCCCAGGTTAACACCCGGGACACATTGTTCTCGATTGTTGGCTTTGAGCACATGTAAGATGTTGCCACACGCTGCTGTCCTGAGATGGCCTGCGGTCGATTCCGTGGCCGGCTGCGGAATGAGACTTTCAGAGAGGTTTCCTCGCGATCGCAGAAGGTAACAACCTGAGCCCCTTTTGGACAAACAAACAAGCGGGGGATACGGAGGGAGCGGGGATATGGGGGGATTCCCTTGGCGCCATTTCCCATATCAAACTCAATCAAGGTGCATTTACGGGGGCTCCTCCCGTGTCCTTGGTTCGCCCTGTATCCCTGCCAGTTGGTTTCGCTGACCCTTTTGCCTTTTTCAGGCTCGGTAGCCTTTCAAGGGCGGCAAAAGGAAACCACCCCTATCATTCGTGCGGCTTCCCTTTTCAGAACCAACGAGCGAATGTAACTCTCTGCTTCCCGCGGAGCAAGCCTCAGTGCCAGATCTGCTTCTGCCACGCCCCCCTGTTTGACCCCCAGTGCCACGAACCCCCTTTTGGGGTTCATTATTTTCAAAAGACACATTCGCCAACCTTCCCACAAAAGGAACAAAACAAGCTATACATGAATCCAGGAACTCAGTAGTCGAAATCCAACCTCCAAGTCTTGGGGCGAGACACACTCATCTGGCCAAATGATCCAAACCGGAAATAAGGGAACCTGCCCAATCAAAGGCCTGTCATCACAGGCTCCTTCTCTCCCCGCGAGCGTCGTTCGAATTTGCCGTGGGCTTCACCCAATTGATGGTAAACGTGGGCTTCACCAAAGCTTATTGCGGGTACCCCTTTTTGCTTGGTTTTCCAGGGAGACCCACAGGACGGCCACTCTTTTCTTCTGGGGCGGGGGGGGGGGGGGTTCCCCTGAGAAAGAAAAAAAACACACCCACACATTGACTAGGCCGCGGCCCCTGGATTTCCCCCCCGACTCCCAGACCCCCCCCCCCCGACTCCGAATCGGCCTGGGGAGGGCATGGGCAGCGGGGAGCACAACTCCAAGCGCCCTCCCTCCGACTTGAGGCACTGCAGCTCCGAGGAGGAGTCCACCACCTGCGAATGAATATTCTAGGGGTTGATATTCCTGTTCCATTCTTTTCAATGATTTTCAAAAAACTGGCAGCTTTCCGGTATTTCTGGGAATTTTCTGGGGGTTGCTTCAAGTTGCTTCCTTTTCCATTCCTTTAAACCATCCTTCTTTTCAAGAAATGGATCCATGTTCAACCTGGGCTTCCGTGTGCAAAGCCCCCCCCAAAAAAAAAGGTACCCTCCAACAAAAAGGGAAAAGTTGGTTGCCTGGAGGCGGTTTCCCTGGTCTCTCCAAAATCTGGCAGCTTCGGGGCGGTTTCCCAAAAAAACATGTGGGTGTGGTGGTCAAAAAATAGCTGCTGACCCCAAAATGGGGTGTCCGATCGGTAAGTGGAACCATGGACGATTTAATCTGCGGTCTATATCCTGGTGGTTGAAAACTTCGAGCCATACCCAAATGGGAACACAGTTTTTGAGGAAGGCTGCAAATGGTCAGGCCCGAATGCCCATCATGGCTTTGCACCAAGTCATGCTCAGGCCAATCATTGAAACCGCCGGCACCAAGTAAGGTTTGACGCAAAAAAAACATAAATCTCGCCCGGTTTTCCTCTGGCCCTATTCATAGTTTCCAAACCAGCCCCCCCCCTTGAATCCCCAAAAAAATAAGGGCTGATTAGACGCAACTTCCTGAAGCCATCGGCGCTCGGTAGCCAACCCGCCCGCCGATTGGATTTCATGTTGCTTCAGTTTGGCTTTCAGTTTCTGTTTCTTCAAATTCCCTAGGCGCGCTTTCAGTGTTCCCTTGAATTGGGCTTTACGTTTGCCTTACTCTTGCCTTATTTCGTGCTGTACGTTTGCTGCATTTTTGCCTTGTTTTGCAGCAATTGAAACCAAATCCCATAGCAGGGATCCCCGGCTGCGTCGAAACCCCGCGCCCGGATCGGGATCGGATCGGGATCGGATCGGGTCGGGACCCACCAACAAGAGCACAGCCAATGCGCGACAACCGCGACAGTGCGCGACACAGCGTAACAGTGTAACAGAAAGGCAAGTTCTATACTTGACATCAAGCGACGAAACGGAGCTTGGAGCTCGAACACATGATTCGTATGTGTTTCTGGGGTCTTTCAACCCGGTTCAACAGTTCAACACCCCAACAAGTCTTTTGAAGGCCGAGTGCTGTCTTAGCGGCTGAAAGCAACGAAAGCTACCTATTGGAAAAAACGGGCTTGGCAACCGGCACAACTCCCGAACACACTGTTAAAGGCCAAACGCAGTTTAGGGAGTTAAAAGCTACCTATTGGAAAAGCCAGGCTTGGCAACCAGTCAAGGACTCAGTCGCCGCAGCACTGGCGCCATTCCCTCTAAAGTCCACATGCCCAAGGGATACAAGGAAATGATGGCACCCTTTGTCATGAGCTGGCGAGTCTCTTCGTTTGCTGTCTGGCAAAGTTGGACTTGGTGCAGTCTTTCCAGCCGAGGCCGCAGTCTTTGGAGACAAATCTAGGTCATGATGCCGCTTCATGCGCCAGCATCATCTTGGTCGACCCCGAAGCGTTTCGCCTCAGCCTGCCAGCAAGCTCCCAGTTGGCTTCGGCAGTGCCAGGTGGGCAGCACAGGCGACAGTACACAAACTGCGGCCGACCGTCGTAGAAAGCAAAATGCTCCCACACAGGGCTCTTGCTGTTCTTTGGTTTCAAAGGAGATAACTCAGGGTCTGGCTCAGATTGAAGCGCAACAGCTGTAGCAAGCAGCTTGGGATACTGGGCGGGCGCCTCGGCGTGCAGCTGCTTGCCGACCAAGGTGCGCCGGTTATCATTCGACATCGCCTCAATCCTCTTGCGCACTTCTGGTGCCACTTCCTCCTCCCTATGTACCAGTTCCCCGAACACTAGACCTTTCTGCTGCCGGACTGGACAGCTCCAACGCCTGCTGCTGCGTGATAGCAGCGTCAGTTCCCTTTCGGCTCCCCCAAAAACTTTCACTCGCCAAACCAATTTCCTGGGTGTTGAAATCTGTCTCACTTTGGATCTGCCAACACCTCTGCAACTCCCCAAGACACATTTTCACTAGCCAAATATTTCCAGAGAGTTGGCTTCTGTCAAATCTAGAGCAAAAGCGCCATTCAACAAAGCCACTCTGAGGAATCCTGCCGATGGCCAGTCTTGATGAGCGAGCAGGGGCCCACTGTCAAAACCCCTGCAACCCCCCCAAAACACATTTGTACTGGCCAAAATATTTCCTGGGACTTGACTTCTGTCAAACCCAAAACAGCAACGCCGTCCACAAAGCCCACTCTGAGGAATCCGGCCAATGGCCACCTCTGAGCAAATCTGTCAAACCCCCTGCAACTCCCGAAAACACACTTTCGAAGGCCAAAGCATTTCCAGAATCTGTCAAATCCAAAGCAGCAGCGCCATTCAACAAAGCCCACTCCGAGGAATCCGGCGGGTGGCCACTTGATGACATGGGCCAACTTCAGAACCTTTCAACTCCCCCAAAAACACCTTCACTAGCCAAAATATTTCCAGGGGTTGAATTCTTCTGGGTTGGATTCAATCCGAAAGAAAGCTGCGCGCAGCCGAGCAGTCCGCATGTGTGCAGCGAGCACAGGTTTCCGGAAAACAGCCAGCATCACTGCCATCTCAAAGCATGTGTAGCCAGCAACATCCAGCTCCAAAAGCTCTGCCTCTGCCTTGAGGTAATGCAAGCTGGCCCGCTCCAGCTTTTGGATTTCCAACGGCATGGCATAACCACCGCAGCTGCCGAGCTCAACTAATGCACACAGCATAACATTCTTCTGTCAAAGCTATTGTGCTTGCAAACAAAAACAAGGGCGCATGCGCATCAACATTCACAATAGCCATCAAGAAGAGCGTTTACATCAATCCTTGCAAGCAGATCACGAAAGAAGGAGCCTGCAAATTAACCCCAACTCAGCCAGAATCGGATCGGATCGGATCGGAACGCCCGGATCGGCTCGGACCGAAGGCCCCGGGATCGCCCGGATCGGGCATTGCCTGCATATATAGGCATGTGCGCTGATCTGGACTTAATTTGGCCTTAATTTGACCCCAAGTTGGCCTTAATTTGGCCTTGATTTAATTTTGCTTGAGCCCAAATCCCATAGGCATGTGCGCTAAGTTGGCCTTAATTTTGCCTTAATTTGACCTTAATTTGGCCTTAATTTGGCCTTAATTGTGATTAAACCCAAACCCCATAGGTATTTGCGCTAGTGTTGCCTTAATTTGGCCTTTATGTTGCTTTACAGCAGCTTGGCTTGATTCCAAACCCAATACACCGTAGGCACGCACCCATCAGGACATCGCGTTTTCATTTAGCACGTTTGAAAGGCTGGCGTCTGTGAGCTCAGTCTTGCCTTAAGTCTGCTTTACAATTTGCATTGTTGGCTTGAATTGGCTTGAGTCATTGGTGCACAAACAAAAACCTTAATTAGGCCTTAATTTTTCCACAAGGGTGAATTTCCAAAAAATGTGTTGGTCTTAATTTTGCCTTAATTCCTTGTTAATTTTGGAGCCAAATTAAGGCCACAATAAAGCCTTAATGATGCCTTAATAAGCCTTATTAAGGCCTTAATTTTCAGTGTCCTCTTAATTTGGTCTTGCTTTGGGAAGGGGGTGGATTCAACGGGGGGGGGGGTTATGCAAGCTATGATCTATGTTTCATGGTTTCTCTACAACATACGGATGCACAGAGCAAGTATCAAAATCGAATTTGGACCACGTTTTCGTCGCGGCTTCCCTGTAAAAGGGTTCAGGTAACCTTTAGTTGGACTTAGAGGCTTGATTTGAACCCCCTGGTTCTGGTTGAGGGTAGGGTACATGACGCCCACCAAAAGCTGTCCAATCCAAAAACTCATACCTGTGAGAGCGAAGCTGACAACATCTCCAAACACAAATGTGGCTGGTAGGTGGCACCATTCCCTGTAGCCATCCCCTTGAAATACCCACGACAAAGAACTCTGCCCGTCCAAAGCAGAATTGGGGGAAATGCAGTGAGTCCGTGCAATCAAAGAAACACACAGGTTACCATTTGATACGCCTTGCTGATTTCTGGAGCCAACCAAAAACGTCTAAACTGCAAATACTCCATCAACTCCACCACGAGGACGTGGTCAAGGTATCTTTTTCCACCCTTTGCTCCCTTCCTGGAGCCAAGAAGAGACCGTAAAGTTCTCACCACTATCGCGCAGATGTGGTCAAACCTGAAGGACATCACCACAGCTAGGCCCTTTTCAGTGTTGCTATGGGCCAAGACATAAACGCGACATGCATTGCATGTACACATGGTATTGATTGACGCCGGTCAGGACATCAATAGTCCTCATAGTGCTCATAGGCCCACTTTCCATCATTAGAGCTAAGCCCAGCTATAGAATGTATGTTGGATTGTTTGCTTCACATGGAGTCACTGGAAAAATGTAAACTGTATCCTACGTCTACCCTAGTTTCCTTCATCCGCGCCTGCTCTAGGCGGGTGGCGAAGAAGAGCACGGAACTGCGCACGGCGCGTATGATCTCCTGCGCAGAGGAGATAAAGCGGAAGAGTTCTGCTCGCGCGGCCGCGCTCGCTTCGTTTCGGAGCAAAACGCTGGCTCTAGGGATCCTTTTTTCTAGACATATTTGTGGTCGGGGGGGGGGGAATCCAAGGAATAATTCCTAGAAAGCCTCCGGAAACCACGGGAAAACGGCCGGTTGTTGAAAAAAAACGATGGTTGAAAAGAACGGGGAATCATTCCTTGGATCGTTGCCTCAGCGCCAAAAACGCTCTGAAGCCAAGTCGCTGCTAGCCCGGCCTCATTTGCGCCGCCAAATCAACCGGGGCTACATTTAACTATAGTCTCAAATGGTCAGGTTCCACATCACCTTCCCTTGAAAGCATTTGTCACGAACAAAGAAAATGAGCCAATGTAGCTTTCATTGATGAAGTAGTTCGTGACGTTGAACAAGGGGTCACATTTGTAGCTACCTAGCTAGGCTACACTGTGCAATCTTTCCCACATGACGTGAACCCCCACCAACAAGTCTTAGCCTCCGTGCATCCTCATGTTCGCACGCCGCCTCCTTCCCCAATAAATTCTATCATGCTTGTGCCCCAGAAGAAACACCACCATTTTCCTTGCCTGAAGAACGACAAGGCCAGCTGCAGCCAGCACACATCCCAGACACAGGGCACATGGGCCAACAATGCAGCCAAGCATTCACCTTCTTCCAAGGGGCGCGTGGGGACTACCCAAACACAACTTGCAAACCTAGGGGCGGGGCAAAAGCTAAGTCCTCCAGTAGAAAGATTAGAACAAGGGTACCAACTTTTTTCCCGTAGTCTGTTATAGGGGACCCCTCCCCCAAAAAGGGAAAAAGGCCACTACTCAGAGAGCTAGATGGGGTCAACCTTCAGGCGTCTCCTTGAGGAGAAGCTCTGGGCAAGCCTCCACACGCTCCAGCTCCTCCAGGCGATGCGCTGATCCAGGAAGTTATGCCGTGGGTTCTGTGGTTTTAGTGGCCCCCCAAAAAGGAAAACCGTTGGGCTTTTGTGGGGGTAACATCATTGAACACTTTGAACGATACTGTGGTTGCGAAATTCGTTCTCACCACGACATGAACCCATGGTTGGAACCGCAACGTTTGTTGGCATGTACAGGGGAATCTGTAATTTGGTCAATTGATGAGGTCTTGCCGAGACCGAGAATCATTTTAACGCCTGACAAGTTGCACAAACAGGAACCCACCTGTTTGCGAGACCTTTTGACCCAAAACGCATGCCGTGATCCCTGCTTGTTCCAATGACGTTTGAAGCAAAGGCTAGCTTCAACGCCATGCTCGAACCTTCAACTTGATCAATTGCTTCTTTAAGGACGCCTTCCCTAGGTTCTGCAAAGTGCAGGCAGTTCCCTGACATGAGCACTTATTCTTCAAGTGAAACATACCAAATTCAAGAACCGTTCTGTTCAGGAAAGCTAGGGAATATCAAACCTACCAACGGCTAAAAGTCGAGAGGGCCCATGTTTTGCTGTGCTGGAAACTCACGCCTTGCTGGAAAATCGGCTGAACCCACATCTAGGTCCTCCAGTAGAGAGGTTAGAATAAGGGTACCCTGTTTTTTCTGTCGTCTATTTTAGTACGGGAACCCTCCGGTACCCCTGGCCCAAACAAATGGCAAAAGGGCACTACTGGGGGACCTAGATAGAGGGACTTCATAGCCTAAACCCTAAGCCCAAGTCCACAAAACCCAGAAGTTCCATCGGGCAGAAGGAGCGTCACCAAATCCGCGCGTCGACCCCTGGGAGCTGAGTCAGTTGCCACATGATGTTGCTTGGCGATATTGGAGATGTCCCACATGACACGCTGGCAAGAAGCGTGAAGCACACATAGATACATATATACATATATTATACATATGTATACAGACTATACATATGTAGGCATATATATATACATATATATATATATATTATTTATACTGGCGAAGGGGGTCTTCGTCGGCTCAGCTGTCTGGGCTGAGCCAAGTTCATAAGACTGGTAAGTCTTGTGCGCGCGCGCAGGGCGTACGTTCGGGACCAGAGTTCTCCTGTGCCTTGCCGTCTTCTAGGTCACTCCCACACAGGCGGCGCATTTTTGGGCACAAACCACCTTCCTATTTCGCCCAAACACAAGTTCTAGGTCCCCAGTGGAGAGGTTAGAATGAGGGTACCCCTCCTGCTGTCGTCTATTTTAGGGGAACCCTCCCAACCAAAATCAAAAAAAAAAAAGGGGTCAGAAAGCTTGCACCTAGCTGGGGGACCTAGACAAGTTTTCGGCGAGCAGACCCCCCAACTTCTCGCCGATCAATACCATCTGCCCCTTTCCGCGTCCGTGGCTAGGAGCTGCACGTAGCGCCGCAGGTCGTGCAGCGTCGGCAGCTCCTCCTTGGCCCTCTCCTCGCCCCCCAGGCGCTCCCCGCTGGCGCTCAGCGAGGAAAGCCTGCGGTGCATGGATGGCGCAGGTGGACGCTGCACGTGTATTTGGTGGGGGGGGGGTGGCTCTGGGGCTATGGCGAAAAAGACAAGGACCATGTCCAAGGCCAAGATCTTTGAATGACTAGGCTGTTTGTATGTATCAAGCACACTTACCATGTATTTGCTATATATATATTGTAAATGTATGCGCACATACGGGGCAATGCAGCATTGCTATACTTTAATACACCTTGCCTGGGGACCAGGCTTGGTTGTTTGTAAGCTGATTTCGCCCAACCCTAGGCCAGCAGACAAACACCTCCGGGCCCAGCACCCAAAACCAGGGGCTAGTTGTGCAAAGGGAGCCGGGATAGACAAAGGCTCCTGCAAGCAGATCAGTACTTCATAGGAGACCCTTTGGTGGACATCATGGGGATTCATGTCCACGAAGTACTTGTGGGGTTCCCGGTTTAATATCATAGTCGCTTCACAGATTGCTTTGCAGGATGCATCCAAAAGCCACATGCTGTACAAGGAAGTCCTCTAGCTCAGTTGCTCAAGGTGATCCTGAACCCGGTCCACATGTATTACTTAAAGGACGAATCACTCCATGTGGATGCGCCTAGAGTAAGGGTGCCTTTTTTGTACTTTAGTGGGGGAACCGAATCTCCCAACCAAAAAAGTTGGGTGAGAGGTCGGGCACCAATTGCGTGGGGACCTAGAAGGGAAGCCAAAAGGACCACTTTGGTGTTTGGTCCGCGTCCCATCTTAAGACACATTCGGCTTCCGAGGCGCAACTTATCCGGCAGCATGATCTCCACCGGCTCCGAGATGCGGCGGATCGCTTCACCTCGCAGAATCCGCCAGACATGCTCAGGTCCAATGGACCAAGAAACAAAAGCTGATCACCTAAAGGCGCCATGACGAAAAACGGAAACCAACAAAAAGCAAACGGAAAAACGAAACGGACTGCAAACATGGACAAGTGCCAAAAGAGGCCAGGGTGTGTGCCCCTTCTGGTGCCACAAATTCGGTTTGCTTGTGCGGCATGCTTCTAGGGCTTGATTCCCCATTCTTGTCAACCATCGATCTTTTCGAAAAAACCTCAGTTTTGCCTGGGATTCTGGACGTTTTCTAGAAAGAAGGATCCCTGGAAAGAATGGAAATGGAAGGTACCCTAGAATGTTGGGCGAGATGGCCCAGTAGCAAAGACCCCCTCCCACTTCCAGACAAGTCGCCCAGAAACTCGTTCCGCAGCTCCCCTGCGGACTGGAAGAGCGTCTCCCTCTCAGCGGCCTTCATGACCTGCCGCATGCGCTCAGCCCATGGGGCTGCAACGTTTGAGTAACTCGAAGAGGGCGAAAAAAGAGCGGCTCGGATTTGCCCAGACTTCCATGGGAGAAAAAGAATCGGCATCCACTTGTGTTTTTGTTGCTGGCGGGGTTTAAAGGGAAACCTCCCCCCCCAAAAAAAAGAAAGGAAAAAAAAGGGCGGAATGCGCTGGGCAACAAAGGCTGGGCCTACATGGTTCGTGATTGGTGCCCTTCTGTTTTTCTGCATCCGCAACGGCAACCCAATACCAGCTACATGATGAAAGTCAACTAGCAAAAAAGGTTCTCACCCAATTTGTGTGGTGGCATGAGGTATCCTGTCAGAACAATTAACTTGACGGACCTAAACTGCTTTCTACCAGTCAAGGATCCCGAAAAGTCAGAACTGCTTTCCGTTCTTTTGAAGGCTACTCTTTGTGGGACGTTTTTTTTTTTTTTTCCGCGCAGAACCTTGGTAAGGATTGGCCTTCTCCTTTGCAAGGTTCCGCCTTGGCTTTACCTCGAAAGGGCACTGTGTCATGCCAAGATTCCATTTGGTTAAGACCCCCGGAGAGAAAAAAGGACAGTAGTGATAAAGCCTTTTTAAAACCAACAGGGGAAGATAAAACATATTCTTGAGCAAATGGAAGCAAGGCTGCATGAGGGGTGCGGGGGTGGCAGTTGGGCTCTAACCCGCGAAACGATGTGTGTGCTGATCACCTTCCATGTTGGAAATATCACGTGATCACCTTCGGTGACTAAACATCGACCAAACCAGGAAAAAAAAGGACAAAAAAACATAAGAAGGTCAAAACTTGGTTGCTTTCTGCTCCCCTGCTAAAAGTCTGACTTTTGGTGGTTTAATGGAAAGCCCATTAGTTGGCACAAAGTTAAAGTCCTAACATCCCTTGGCAAAATGCACCAAAGAAAAGGCGGATTCGCTTTGGGCACGCGAGAGCCAGCTTAAACCGGGCGCAGACTTATGGGCAAAACTCCAAACGCCCAGCCTTGCCGCGGCCCAGCTTTTCCACTGCCGCCACCAAACTCTGGAGCACCTGGCGAAACCCTTCGGACAAAAATCCAACGAGCAGAACTCGGTTGCTTTCTGCTCCCCTTCGAAAAGTTTAACTTTTAGTGGGTTAATGGAAAACCTATTAGTTGGCAAAAGCTGAAGTCCTATCATCCAAGCAAAATGCACCAAAGACAACATGCGTTGTCCCTCACGAAGGGACAAAGATCATGTCAGCTTCAGACCAATGCGGAAGACCCTACCCATCAGAGGAAACCTCCGAAAATGAACCTTTACCTCACTACAACCAGCATCCGAAGGGGGACCCAAGTGAGGAAGGATTCACAAACAGAATTTGGGCAGCCTTCAAGATGCCAAACCACCGCGCGATCTGCAGGAGAATCGTGCTGACTCATGCGTGCCCAGAAATGCTTGGTTGGGCAGAGGAAGCCTGCAAATGTTGCCTTCTTTCTTTCCATTTCCGTCCGATATTTTCTCACCTCCATTTGCTTGAGTCCCACAAAGAACAAGCATATATCCAGTGATAGGTTCCCGTTAGCACCAGGGAAACAACTCAAATACCCAACGGAACCAGACATAAAAGGTGAACCTTTTGGAACCTTGACTAAACACGGACGAATGAAGGGAAACTGAAAGGTCAATGGGCAAGTAAGGTCTTTGCTGATCTGAAGTGATAGATTCCCTGCAAAGGCAACGGGGGAAAGCAACATACATATTACTGGCCTCATTATTTTACCATGATCAAAGTCACCCCTAGTCACCGCTAAATGGTGGGTTAAAGGGCAACAACCGATTCCAGTTTTTGACTTTGACAACCCAGGGAAACCGTCAACATAGCCACCCCATTATGATTAAGCAAATGGGAGCTGCCTAAGTGGCCATGCTGTAATGTTGACCCCGGATTAATAAACCCCGGTTGATTAATATGGGGGTGTCCCCGGTTTTAGTGGAGGTTTATCACTTTGGGGGGAACAACCCCATATTAATAAACCGGGGTTTATTAATCCGGGGTCAACATTATAAGAGAAGAATAAACCTTCAACGGGCCTTGGGGCACTCTGCCACGGCCTTTGCGCGGAACGTCCGGTCCTCAGGGATTCATGTGGGTGACTCGTCTTCATGGGCCCCCAAAGGCAACCTATGGGAAGTGGGGGCTATCCCTTATTAAGCCCTTAAGGGCTTATCCTTGGGTTATCCTGGCTTATCCAGGGATAGCCCCCCCCCCCCCACAGCCCCCCCGAAGATTCCATGACGTCCGTTTTGTAAGATACCCAATTCGAGTTTGAAATTCCTCTTCGCGTCCCTTTGAACCACAGTGCCCGCATAAAAAAGACATCATGTCCGAACATTGAGGGACTTAACATTCGGCATCTTTTGAACAGGCTGCAGCCTTGAACAATTCGGAACGTGCAAGCCGTTGCTTGTGACATTTTCATTCACTGTCACTTGCTTTTGTTGCCTGGACAAATCACTAGTGACAAATTGAGTCTCCCCCCCAAAAAAAAGAAAGAAAACAAGACATGAAAACAACATCTTGTCATTTTGCGTGAAACTGACCTTCAAAAGATTGAGCCCCCCTTTTCCCGAAGGGGTGCTCCAAATTTTCCCCGCGTCCTGGTACACCTTGGCGAACTTGGCCTCGAGAGTCTGTCTCTCCGATCGAGTGGGGCCCGAAAAAAGTAAGCGATGGTTGCTTTTTGTTTGCCACTAAAAACCGAAAGCCAAAAGCCAAAAAGTTTGAAGTCCAAGAACTCAGGGCGTGTCGAAATAGGGGATGGTGTTGCTTTTGGCTTTCCCTTTAAATCCACCACAAGGGGTAGTCTCGACAAAAGACACACCCCAATGTGCTACAGTCTGTGGGGCCTTGGCTGTGATTGCTTATGAACCTGTGCATATTGTGGTAGCTTGAGCCCTATCAAAGAGTGGGCCATCAACCCTAGCGACTCCTGTGCGGGAGTATTGAACATGTTCCAAAGGTAGGGCCCCGACATCCACTGTGAATTGTATGATGTCTGCATGGAAAGCATGGCGCCAAAAAACAAGCAAACTGCTTGTTTACGCGACCTGACGTGGCTCAGTGGCACACTTGGACGTCCTTTTGCACATCCGTGGTAGCTGAGAACCAGTGCCATCTCCTTTCGGCGTCTTCCTCGAGGGTGCGTCTTCTTTTTCTGCTGAAGGGGAACCCAAAAGGACCCCCGCCATTTTAACTTAGGCGGGGAACCTCATTTTTGGGGGGGTCCCAGGTCCCCCCCCCAAAAAAACGGTGGTTGCTGGAAGCCCTGGCCAAAAAAAGAAAAGAACAGAAAAACGACCCGTCGGTCCCCCGCCCCCCCCCCCCACAAAAAAAACATGAAGAAACAAAACAGTTTGCTTGGCTACACTCACCGCCCGTGCCTCCCCCAACTTTGAATGCCTTCGGCGAGCGGCTTTGAAGACCCCGGCGGCTTCAGACCAGAAGTGACTGGTCAGGGAGTTGATGCCCGCGGCCTCCAAAACCGACTGGAAGCTCTGGTGCGTCACCGGGTCCGTCTTCGACTGGACCTGGAAACGTCCAGGTCAAAACCAGCAGACTTCGAGTAGATGCGAAATGAAGGCCTCCTTCTAGGGGTTGATTCCTTTTCCATTCTGTTCAACCATCGCTCTTTTCAACACCCCGCTGTTTCCCTGGGTCTTGTATGGTTTCCTGAAAAGAAGGAACCCTGGACAGAATGGAAATGGAAGGTCGCCCTAGATCCCTCGTCTTTTTCAGCAAAGAAGGATGACTCGGCTTGATCTTTTAATGAGAAAGGCCCACATGGGCTTGCGGACATGGGAGCCGCGGCCCCAGAAAATCGGCGACGCCTTTTCTTAGGTCTCCATTTACTTAACCCTTTAAAACTCCAAGCCCTGGGGAAGTTAATCTTTTACAGACATATAGCCCATGTTACCCAAAAAGTTGAAAAGTTGTGTTTTTAAGAGGTAAGTTTAGCACACCCCCAAGAAATGGGTAGCTTCAAAAAAACCACACGCCCACGGCTCATGGCTGACCCGCCGATGGCCAGTTTAGGACCCATGCATATGAAGGGCCTGCGCATGTCGTAGAAAATCCATGGGTTGTGATGAGGCATGAAACCAACCTGTCAAACAAGAAACATGTATGACATATGTAAATGCAGTCAGCCATCGTGTATATACGAATATGTAGAGATACACATATGACATCACAATCCCCGTTAGAGGTTCCAAACAGGGTTGGACCCCCCCCCCATTTTATCAGATCAAATAGGGTCAGTCCAACCTTGTTGGAAAATAAAATGAACTAGTCCAACACTGACAGCAAATAAAATGAAAAATCACGATGTATTTTGACCTCATGTTGGGGGTTGGTTTGAACAGTCCGAATTGGACAAAACGTATTCTATTTTATTTCCTATGAAAATAAAGTCGAGGGGAGTCCAACTCATGTTTATTTTGCGCATCCGCTTTTTTCACAAAATAAAGTCGGGGGGTCAACTCGGAAGGTACTCATGTAATTGCCGCAGTCCAACATTTCCCAGGCCTTGAATGGACTTGAAAAAACTGCATTTCCTGGGGAAGTCACAGATTACCTCATGTTAATTTGAAATAAGTTCAGTCCAACGTTGAAGGGTTTTTCACAGAGGCCAAAATGATTTCGCATAAAAAAAAGGGGTGGACTAAAATAAAATAGATGACTTATTTTAGGGTCCGACCCACCCCTACTTTATTTTGAGCCTGCTTCGGGGCTCATCACACATGTATATGCAGAGGGCAATCGTGTATACATGCATACGGATATAATATCCATCATTACGTAATTTAACATTGTTGGCATACAGCGGTATACATACAAATAAATCCACGTAGAAATACACATATGCACCCAAGTGTTCCACAATTCGTTGCGTCCCTTTTGTTGTCGCCCAACATGTAAAACGACAGTTCGCCAACCCATGTGCAACCCGAAGGAAACCCTTCAAAAGGCCTTCGCGCTCCCCATAGCCCCCCCCAAAAGAAATCCGTGACAATTCCGGCGACAAAACTTGCTGGTGCTCAGTAGGGAATGTTTTTCAGGTGTTGGGAATGAAAAGTAAAGGACCTTTATCACCTGCTTGCCCCATAGCCCGCACTTAGAGGTGTTTAACAATTTCAGGTGGGTTCCACCTTGAGGCGAATTGCCTTGGCCCGGCGACGTTAACGGTGACCGACCCGTTCGGGGCCCCCGGCCATTTCGTCCAGCGCATGGACCCGCTGCGTCTGCGCCACCAGGACCTGCAGATTCACCTCCAAGGCCTCGCCCAAAGATGCCCAGCCGAGGCCGGCGGGCGAGATGCAGGGAAGGAGAGCTCCAGAAAAACCATCCCCGAGTTGGTGGCCTTGTGGGCTGCCCGTTTTCGGATTTCGGACCCGCAAGAAGTGAACATATCTGTTAGTGGGAAAAAAAAACACTAAAAACTAAAAGGCTAAAAAGCCAAGGGGATGGATGGGAGCCACCAAGTTTAAGTTAAGGGAACCTCTGGGTTCAGGTCTTGAAGGGCCTCTGCAAAAAGCTAAACTTTTTTTGCGGGCCAAGTGTGTTTCCCAAAATGTCCAAAGACCCAACCAAATAGCCATCCAGAGGCTACGTGACGATCAACATGGGTTCATCCAGCGCGGATTTTCTTGAGTGAACCGCCCCAGGAAGACAAGAAACACTCCGTGTCAATCGTGGCCAGGGCTGGTTTCCAGTATTCCAACCCTAGCATCACTTGGCCCCAAAAAGTGCTTAAACCACCCCGAGAATGTTGCACTTCTCTTTACTGCGCCGGACCCCAAACTGCAAACCGTTAGTCGGGCGAGCGTCCTGTTTCGTATATTCATGTTTAATGTTGGGACTGTTCCTACCGAGGCTACCTCGTTTATTCTTTTGGGACTACTCTTCCTGAACTGTTCTTCGAGCTGCCTGTGCTTGTCAAGCAGCCGTTCACAGAAGTGTTCGCTGCTGCACTCGAAGAGCTCGTTCCGTTTCAAAGCAACAAGTTTTGACTCTAGGGCAGCACAACCGGAGCACTGCACCCTTGATGTGGGCCCCTGAATCCCAGTTGGGGAAGGTCCCCTCCAAATAAAGTGGATGGACGAAAACCATTTCGCATAACAAGCCCGGAATGATTTGATTCCCCCGAAAAAATACCAATGAACAACAGTTTCAGCTTCAAGTTTGTTCCAGCTTGGGCTCTGAGTGTTTTCTCCAAGGAGCCCCCGGGAAATGCACCTCAGCAAGAAGTATTCAGAAAGTGGGGTGGTCTCCCTCATGAAACCTACAAACAACGATAAGGGCTTCTTCTCGAAATCGTGCCCCCTTTGTTGCATGGATCTTGAGCAACCTGAAGCCCTAAACACCGCCGAAGGGGTCCCAAAACCACTGGTGTCTCAACCATGGCCCCCATGGCTACGGCGCCATGTGGCTGTGGGTGTCAAAACCGTTTTGGGATCTGGGATTGGTGAATTCACCACCCATTTTAGAACCTATTTGGCTGCGGCTCAAAAAGCCAGTACCAAAATGGAACCCTGGTAAGTGGAAACATGGACCAAAACCTGCGTAACCCCTGCTTCTTAATTTTGAGCCACACCCATTTTAGTGGGGGATTGAATCGGATGTTTGGATGTTGACCCATGGCCATCTGGCGCCTGGCGTCCCCAGGCGCCCCGAAGCCATCTGAAGCCATTTGGCTAAGACCCTCGGAAAAAATGAGCAAATATTCCCAGCAGTGATCGACTCCCTTTAAAACCAACAGGGGAAAATCAAACATAATCACTTCAGCAAAAGGCAGGAGAATGGAAGGCATTTTGGTACTGGTTTTTTGAGCCACAGCCAAAAATGGCAAATGGAGGCATCTGAAGCCTTCCGACGCCAAAAGGCTGCGGCATGCTGCAGCGCGCGCGCCTGTGGGAAGCCGTTGCCCGGCAACGGCGCCTGCCTCACCTCCTCCAAGAGCTCCGACAGCAGCTTCCGCAGGGAGGGCCACAAGCTCTGCCTCAAGCGGACTCGGACTCTCGGCCAGGTGGCCGATTTTTGGTTTGAACCCCAGGGTTTTAGGGCGTCGGGTTTGGGGTGTGACTTACTTTGTACCAAATGGAAAAGATGAAAACCTGCGGTCCATCGGGTGGAATAATTTTGACCCACACCCATGTGACCATACTTTTCTTTCCCCGCAATGGGCCTCGACATGTGGGTGTCCTTAGGTTCCCGGTTTTGAAGACATCCAGGTGCAGAGTTCTTGTCTTCGATGCATCATCAATCGGGGTTGCAGCCGCCGCCGGGTGGCAAATTTATGCAAGCGTCAACTTTCTGCCCCTGTTCGAGCAACGATTCCCCAATGAAAACCACAAGTTATCAACCCTTGGCCGATTGATGAGGGGTGTAGGGGTGTCCCTGTTTACTCTTGGAGGGCAACACCTGCCCAAAGGTTCTCAGCCGCGAGGCCTCTTTCGGGGTCGAAATCAGCGCACAAAACTGCACGTCTTCGCCTTCTGGGAAGCGCGGTGCAGAATGCATACAGGTCAGACCTGAAGACCGGGAAGTTGACAGGCACCAACTTGACTTGGGCAAAACTGGGCCGAACTTGGAGAATGATTTGCTGCATGTCCCGGATAAAAAAGAAAAAGAAAAAACCGCCTTTGCAAACAAACATATTTTTGAAAACTTTAGTTCACTAACAAGAAGCGGAGATTCGAGGGATTTCGAGGATGTCTTTTCTTGAGGGTACCTTTTTCGTGGTCGGTTTAAAAAGGACATCTCAGAAACATGTCCCAGTTTGGGTTCATGTTGACCCTATATTAATCAACCCCAGTATATTAGTGGGGCTGTCCCTGGTTTTAGTGGGAAATCAGACCGCTTTTGGAGGGGTCCAAACAACCCCCCAAAAACATAAACAGGGGCTGAAATTCATCTGGGGCCAAACAAATACCCTAAACTTTCCTAGGCTGGAATTAGAACCCCCGGCAAAAATCTATATCTTTTTTGCCTGGGTAGTGGAAAACCAAGGGGTCCCCAAAAAAGACAACAGAGAAAAAAAAAAAAAAAAAAAACTAGGGAGCAAAATGATTGGGGGCCCCCGGATCCCGGATCCAAGCCGCAGGTTGAAGAAGACCTGCAGCGCCACGCTCAGGGCGATGTGGTTCCCCTGCCGCACGCCCGTCCGGAGATCTTCCTCCGACTGCCGGCGCACCCGAGCCCCCACGTCGCGGATCCACAGCACCTGGCGGTCTGGCGCTCGGCGCCGAGTCTCTGACTTCGGGGTTCGCCCGATGAATTTCAACCCCTCTGAAGCAATAGGGGGGGGTGTCCCTAGGTGGAATGTGGGGAAGCATTTGGAGGGGAACAATCCCCGTATTAAGAAACTGGGGTTGATGAATATGGGGCCAACCCATATTGATCAACCCCTGCTTATTAATAGGGGGTGCTTCTCCCTGGGTGAAATGTGGGAAGCAAACCACTTTTGGAGGGGCCAAAACCACCCCGCTTTTTCATGAACTGGGGTTGGTCAGCATTTATGCAGCTTCAAGTTTGCATTCTGAACTCAGCATCCCTCTTGATTGGTGAGGTGTTCGGGTTGCCCATTTGGAACCGGCAAATCCAACTCCAACACCAAACCACGGGATACCTCAGACTTCACCGCATCGAGCGCGCGTGGCGGAGCGCGCGCGGAGGAGCGCTGCAAGCGCTGCTGGATGTTTGAACACGTGGCATGTGTGTTGGTCATAGTGTGGGGGAATCCTTGTCTTGTCATTAAAGTAAGTTCAGCGAAAGATCAAGCTGAAACACCAAGCTCTTTGAAGCTCTTTGCCTCTCTCAGTTGAATGGGCATGAACCAATTGACAGGGAAGAACCCAGTCGCCAGGCTATCGCTTCCAGTTGCGGGCTTCCAGATGCCAATGCCACCCAAAAAGCATCTGGCCGTCTGGTCGTGACCATGTTCCGGAAACCACCGTTCCAGGACCCATGGCTGTGGGTCAAAAATAGGTGCCCAAGATGGGTTGCCCTAGTAAATGGAACAGGACTAAAACCTGCGGTCCAATTCCTGGTTGCTTAATTTTTACCCATACCTACATCAGAAAAAAAGTCAGAAAGTGGTAGGCATAAAGACTCCGTCTCAAGTTTGCAAGACGATAGCACTGCGTACGGGGATGTGTCAACGCGCACCCATACCGAATGGCGAGGTTTCACAACACCAGGCCTGAGAACATACGGGTACGGTGGGGATTCATATCCACCAACCCCTTCTCAGTTTCCAAACCACCGAAATACAAAGCTCACCTTTCGGGAGCTTTATATTAAAAAGAAAAACGAAAAAAAAAAGATCGGATGGGAAAGCCAAAAGGCTCGGTGGTTGGCTTTTCTCTGAGCCCATTCGGTGGTTTCCCTTTTGGCATTGCTACGATGTCCCTCCAGAACTCCGATCGGCTCCGAGTCGCTCCAAATGCGTCCGGCTCCCGAGTCCCACCAGCGGGTTCGATTGCCATCTGGACGCGACTGTTCATAGACCCGTGGTGGACATCATTTGGCTGTGGGTCAAAAATAGGGTAACCCCAAAATGGGTTACCCTGCTAAATGGAAACATGGAAACATGGACTAAAACCTGCGGTCCAATTCCTGGTGGTTTAATTTTGACCCATACCCATTTGGGTGGGATCGATTTATGTCCACCCACCACTTTGGAGGTTCCAACTCTTAAAACTCCTGGCCATCTTGACGCCTCAAATCCTCGCGGATCGAATCAGAGAAGTTAGAACAAGGGTACCAACTTGTTTCTGTATGTTCTAGTAGGGGAACCCTCCCAACCCAGAATGTTGGGTCAGAAAGGGGGACCTAGATTTCGAAAACCTGTTGCGCGCTGGGATGCGCCGGTACCCCCCAGCCTCTGCCCCCCCGGGGTACACTGGGCAACGGAATCCACTGGGCAACTGGGGAAGCCAGGCCTCCGCCCGGAGGATGTCCACCTTGTCCAGGCCGCTGCCCGCCAGCAGCTGCTCCAACTCGTGGAGCGTGTGGGCCGCCTTGGAGAAGTCCTGGTAAAAGCGGGGCAGGTTGGGAGTTTGCGGATGGGTGGGGTGGGTGGTAGGTTAGGTTAGGTTAGGTTAGGTTCGGTTCGGTTCGGTGGGTGGGGTGAGTGGGGTGGGTGGGGTGGGGTAGGGTGGGGTGGGGTAGGGTGGGTTAGGGTGGGTCAGCGGGTGGGTTTGAGGGTCCTGTTTTCGAGCCAACACAGCTCAATTCCAGAGGATATTCATGTCCCTTGAGAACCTAGAGGACCTTCATGCACGTCTGCTCGCATGTAGCTTCCTTCTCAATTAGCACTTTGGAGCCGAAGCGGTGGCTCGGTGTTCCGAGAACAGGCAGCCCCATCTATCCTTCACAACCATAGATTCAACTCCAAATCCGAACCACCGGGCTCACCCAAGGACCAGGGACCCGCTCAGAGCGCCAGGGCCAGCTCTCCAGCTGTTGAGTCCCAACATCTGCCGAGAAACATGCAACACATCTTCGGACTGCGGGTCCGGAGGCCTCTCTCCAGTCCCTCAAATCCCAAACTAGGAGCACGCTTGGTCCAGGAAGCTCAGACGAAACGCGAACTCGCAAATGTCCCCTACCTGGTTCACCCAAACCCCCAGCGGCCACGAGGAACAAGGCAGCTGACTTTAAAGACAAAAACAAAAAACCACCAAAAAGAACTGGGAGCCGACGCTGACTTTAAAGAAAAAAGTAATTACAAAAAACTACTGGGTGTCGACCAGATCGTGTCTTCCACCCCCCCAAGCGCACACTCGCGTCCTTGCCAGGGGCGTCCATTTGGCTGCGCAGCTTCCGGGCATCCCACAAGAACCGCACCACGCGGCGGATCAGCACGTTCCTCGGCGAAGTGTATCGAGATATCTCGCTGGTTCAAAGTTGCCCGAGAGAAACCATCCCCGATTTGGTTTCTTTTAATCGGCAAACTGGAAACGAGGTCTGGATCGGATGGGTCTCCAATCAGGAGGGTTTTTTGGAGGATGTTTTTGAGAGATGTTGAGTGTTTTTGAGCATAAATGAGTGCTTTTGAGCATAAATGAGTGTTTTTGAGTATACATGAGTGTTTTTGAGCATGAATGAGTTTTTTCATGGAAGATTGAGAGATTTACATGTGTCCTAGTCACAACAGGTCTTGCGAGGAAAAACGATTTGAAACATGTGTTGTCCATTAACATTAGCAAGCTATACTACACAGTCTATGACATATCATCTCTGTGACACTGTGGTCTTATTGTTGTTTCTTGCTTGTTGATTGTTGTTGTTGTTGTTGTTGTTGTTGTTGTTGTTGTTGTTGTTGTTGTTGTTGTTGTTGTTGTTGTTGTTGTTGTTGTTGTTGTTTTGTTGTTGTTGTTGTTGTTGTTGTTGTTGTTGTTGTTGTTGTTGTTGTTGTTGTTGTTGTTGTTGTTGTTGTTGTTGTTGTTGTTGTTGTTGTTGTTGTTGTTGTTGTTGTTGTTGTTGTTGTTGTTGTTGTTGTTGTTGTTGTTGTTGTTGTTGTTGTTGTTGTTGTTGTTGTTGTTGTTGTTGTTGTTGTTGTTGTTGTTGTTGTTGTTGTTGTTGTTGTTGTTGTTGTTGTTGTTGTTGTTGTTGTTGTTGTTGTTGTTGTTGTTGTTGTTGTTGTTGTTGTTGTTGTTGTTGTTGTTGTTGTTGTTGTTGTTGTTTGTTTTTTGTTTTTTGTTGTTGTTGTTGTTGTTGTTGTTGTTGTTGTTGTTGTTGTTGTTGTTGTTGTTGTTGTTGTTGTTGTTGTTGTTGTTGTTGTTGTTGTTGTTGTTGTTGTTGTTGTTGTTGTTGTTGTTGTTGTTGTTGTTGTTGTTGTTGTTGTTGTTGTTGTTGTTGGTGTTGTTGTTGTTGTTGTTGTTGTTGGTGTTGTTTTTGTTGTTGTTGTTGTTGTTGTTGTTGTTGTTGTTGTTGTTGTTGAGTGCTGTTGAAGGTTGGTTGTTGGCTGATGTTACAATTACTGTGTGTTGCTGGCTGTTGGGTGCTGGATGTTTGTTGGTAGTTGATTGTTGGCTGTTGGTTGGTGGTTGTTGGTTGTTTGCTGTTGGTTGTTGGTTGGTGGATGTTGGTTGGGTTGTTGTTGTTGTTGTTGTTGTTGGTGGTGGTGGGTGGTGGTGGTGGTGGTTGTTATTGTTGGTGTTGCTGTTGGTGCTGTTGTTGTTGTTGTTGCTGCTGCTGCTGCTGCTGTTCCGTCCGTTCTTGCTGTGCTTGTTGGTTGTTCTTGCTGTTCTTGTGTCTTGTTGTCCTTGTTCTCGTTGTCCTTGTCCTTGTCCGTGTTGTCCCTGTTATGGCTAATAGTTTGGCCCGAAAAGCTGAATTTGAGGCTGCCAAGTGCATTTTTACACTATTTTAATAAGCTGTCCAGCAGTGACAGGGGCCGTGGCGCAAATGGCAGCGCACCTGGACGGATGGCTGGCGCAAGCCGCTGCGCAGGAGGTCGTGGGCTCGAATCCCCCCGGCCCTGTTTTTTCCAGTTCAGCTCCTTGACTCATTTTTTCCAGTTTTGCTGGTGCTGTTGCTGTTGCCGTTGCTGTTGTTATGTTGCTGTTGTTGGGCGTGTTGTTGTTGGCGGTGGTGGCACTGATGTTGCTGGTGTTGCTGCTGCGGCTGCTTCACCTGCTTCACTCAACTTCAATTTGGGTCAGCCAGGCCATTAAATTTAAATGCGTGAGAAAAAAAACAGGGCCGGCGGGATTCGAACCCACGACCTCCTGGGGGGGAGAGGCCCGCAGCCGCAGCCACGCCCCAGGTACGCTACCATTGCGCCACGGCCCCCTGTCACTGCTGGACAGCTAATTAAAATAGTGTAAACATGCACTTGGCAGCCTCAAATTCAGCTTTTCGGGCCGAACTATTAGCCATAACAACAGCCTGTTTTTAGCTTTAACAAATACTGTAAATTGTTTTTGTTGCTGACATGTGCTTGAATGTTGTACTTGGCTTGCTCATTGCCTGTCTGAAGATTGCTGCTGGTCATACCACTCACATGTCTTTGTCATATGTCATATTAAGTGCTGCTGGCTGTGATGCTGTTGTTCTGTCCCCTTGGCATGGTTGTCCTGGACTATCTCAACAACATCGAGTCTGACAGTGTTCCCGGCATGTTTAGCTAAAAGTGTCGTGCACATGAAGCCTTGTGAAGCTTGTGCGTTTGTGCACTGGTGCCTGGTGAATCAAGTCAACTTGTGTGTGGCCCAATGGCCGTTTTTGGCTCACGCAGCACCAGCTAGAATCTCGGTCATTTGTCCTCGTCATTGTCATTTGTCAGGCTGCTGCTTGCAATGCTTCTGGCAAGTTTGGTGGAGGCGACCGAGCTGAAGGGGGAGTTTAAAAAAGTCTTGGAGGAGCACTTGGGCCTTTCACCGAGCCTTCCTCGCTCTTTGTGTCCTGGCAATTTGAATTTGGGAATGGGTACTCAGCTCCCATCAGTGATTAGTTGTAGGCTCATACATACCCTTATTATTACTTAGGACTTCTTCTGATGAGTACCTGTTGGACCTGAGCAGCCGCATTCAGTTCCCGCCCTTTATTGAGACACTTGGCATTCATTTCATTCAACTGTCAATGATGAGCTGAGCTATAAAGTTGTTGCAACCATATTAAAAAAACCTGTGACTGTGAGGTAGGTTGATTGCTAACTTGGCTTTTGATTCGCACAGCAGGATTGATGGTGGCAGAAAGGTAGTGCATGGTGATGTTGCTTTGCATCCTTGCCTGAAGCACCACGGCCAACATGCTTGCATGTTTTACTTTTCAACTTAATTAGTAGCTTCACTTCCACTGTTTGTCCATTGTCCACTGTCCTGCAAACAGACACGAAGTTTCTTCAGTTGTCAGAGCAGTGACTCATCACAGTTTGGTCATTCTCAGGAAGGCTTGCAATTACCTTTGTCTGTCACGTGTCCCAATGGAAGTGAACCTGCTCAGAGAGCGGCGTGGTCGTCACTTGTCGCCGAGCATGATTGTTCAGATGCTGAATCAGGACAGACTGACCTTGAATTTTTCAACTGTTCAACTGATGAAATGTGTTGGCCTTGGTTCCTGGCTGTGCATGTGCTCATTGCAGTTTCCTTGGGGGCAGGATGGGCCACAGATGAATGGAGTCATTGTCCCCATTGAGGGCGAGTTTTGGGTGTCGGTTCTCTCTTACAATGAGGCTGATGGTCCAATGTTTGTGCTGGGCCATTTGACTGCCAGTACTGCTTTTGATGCTCATGCTATTTGATTTGATTTTGAACATGTTTGGAATTGACACTGATTTTAATGGTTGTTGTGCTGCAAGTTGCTCATGTAACTCCAGGCCCGAACAATCAGTTCCTTGTCCGCAGCAGTGGCCTCTTCCTGACAAGGCGGCGGGCTCTCCCACTACTCAGTGATGCAGAAGTTGACGGCCACATCGAGTCATTCGTCAGGGACGTACTCTTTCCTTAAGCAAGTGTCAGGAAGATGCCAATGTCAGTTGTCTGTGCAGCTGTCAGCCGTCAGCTGTCTGTCACTTATCAGGGCAGCTGTCAAGTGTTTGGGATCCTCCAAGAGTTTGATCTGCTTGTGATTCGGAACAAAAATGCGCGAGGGGCTGATCTGCGACATAAGACTTTGACACATCCCTGTTCATGATGTTCAGACACATGGCACATTGGGACAGTTGACTTGGCTTGAATCATGTTTGCAAACCTGGTTGGCACACTGCGGCCCACTGTCAGTTGCGCAGTAAAATTACGATTCCTTGATGATGCCAGGTCAGTGTCAGCTGGCCACCGCTCGGCCTGAGCGCCTCAGGCTCAGTGACATGACATGTGATGCGCACGCGTGTAACCAACAGCACTACCCTTTCAGTTCAGTCATTCATTACTCTGTTTCACATCTGAATCTGCCAGTGTTACTAGCTGATTGGCAACTGATTGCACCACTGTGGCCTGCTCAATCATTGATGTGCTGAACCTCAGTTGTCAATCAATGGCTGAGGCCTTTGATCCTGGATCGGATGGTCAATTCACATCGACCTGGCCTGCTGCTGAGACTGGCATTACCTCAATTGTAACTACAGCAAGTTTCCCACTTGCCTTTCAACTTACTTGAAAGCAAACTGTGTTTTGGCTCAATTAAGTTTCTGCAGGCTGACACAGAATTCAGAACATGAGTGACAGACAGAAATCCTAGTGCAAGTTGCAAGGAAGTGTCAAGCCTCATGTCATTGTCAGTCACATTTGTTTGCAAAAGACCGGGCTGTCACTGTGTCAGTGTCATTTGTCAGTCAGCCAGCCATGGTCATCAAGAAGAAGCAGACGCTGCCTAACAAGATGATAGCTTCAGATGTGATTGCCTACCACAAGCGCTGGCCTGCGCAGTATTCAATCCCGAACCTCAAGTTGCGGCGACGAACGCTTGCACGGTCTGACTCGTGACAATGTAGTCAAATGTCTTTTCACACTCATTGTCATGTGTTTGAAGATATATGCTATGAACTGATTGTTTGTGTAAGTTTGTCAAGACATACAACAGTAACAGCATGCTCTTTTCTCTGTCTGTGAGCCCCAATCGACTGACAAGGAACACCTCGCAGCTCGGGAGCTGGCCATGGAGATTGACAAGGCGCTGGCGCATCTTCAGGACAAGGGCTTCCGCCGTCAGAATGCGTTCATTATGGAGACACCCAGGCCCAGTCCATGCCCAGTGCCAAAGTCAACTGCTGCCCTGGCTGCTGACACTTTCATTGCTGAGGACACACTGGTTGATGATGCTGAAGACACACTGCTTGATGATAATGATGAATCCCAAAGTCAAGTGTCAATTGTTACTGTGTCATCAAACACAGAGAGCATGGACTGGCCTGATGCCCAGCCCTGG